ATTGCTTCCAGACTTAGAAAAATTACCTTAACTTAATTTTTTTCAAGGGGGTAAATCATCAAATGGATGCTCCCGCCTGGGTGAGGCGGGAGGGAGTGTCAGACTCTTACTGGCTAAAAACCACCCCGTTCTTTTTCCTACACGTCGAGCCGGAGCCCCGGTAACCCGCTAGGTTCTCCAATTGAATTGATAAAGATCGATAAATCGCTTGTCTAATAATAATTATTATAACCTCAAGTACTCTCATCAAAGTCTGATGCATTTTAGAAGAACTTATAATATCCAATTCTGTTTGTAGTTTGTTAAGGATAACATCATTGGAAAACTAAGTATTTTATATATGTCTGTACTTAACTAGACTACCTACATATTAATGTAGGTTAGCTAATATTTGTGGCGTTATTTAAACTTGAAGGATCTAGGTCGGTTGTGGAGACAAGGTGTGACGGGAGTGTGTTAGTCCTTCGCCTTTTTGGTGATTTGGGCGAATAAGGAATGTTCGCACCTCGTAACAATGAAAGTTAGAAAACTTGTATTATCTACAATTGACTCAGAATTAAAAGACAAAACAAATGTTGATTGGTGCTTCCGATTCCATTTGTCAATCAGCAAACAATTCTGTGAAGCTCTCTATGACATTTGTAAATTGGAGACCCGTCGCACTAGGTAGGTAAGTACTTGCACAATACCAATGCGAATCTCGGACGATGATCTCAATTGACAGCGTTACGTAAACCAAACATAAAAGGTGTCTTACGGATATGCTTTTAAAGTGGATAATGTCATGGCAGCGGCGTTCGCTTATTAACGTCAAACATATCAATGTTATGCCCTTACGAGCCATAAATAAAATTAAATAATGTGCTTTTATCTGTTACTCAATGTGTTATGAAATAACAGCTATGTATGGTAGTGTCGCATCTCAGAGGGAGCATCCGTTTGCGTATATAATGTAGGTACATATGTACCTATTAACATTGATTGATAAATGTATTATTAACCAACTTACAGGGTCCCAGACCCAGTCTACTCGAGTAACAGTTAGATAGCTTTTCATAGCTTTCGACTAGGTACTACAGGCTATGATAAGACTACAACACTTTTCCAAAATTGGCAAATGGGTCAGTTAGTTTAGTGACAAAATGGTTATTTAAATATCTACGCACTATCTAAGTTGTAAAAGGCATTGATAACATACATTTTTAGTCCCATTATTTGTGGGAGTGTATTGTGACAACCCGCATAACGGTACTGAAATAGTGTCGCGCCATAAAACATGGCACGTTTAGGCATTAGCAGCCATTATTGTTGTACTTAAATATCAACACTAGCGATGATCGATCCGACCTCCTTGCTCACAAACCTCCTCCTACGTCAAGTTCACTGAGTACATTGATATTCTATTCATGATATTGTTTTGAAGATGATGCCATTCATCGCTATTTTTTATGCGCATCAGCTTATAATTCAAGTCAAAGTACAGTAGGGTTTAAAATGGGCGTAGGACTTGTTTCCAAATCACAGTTACGCTCAGACACACCCTTTAACTACCGTTACGTTGCTGAATGTTTGTGATTTGTTTGTTGTGAAAATATCCCTCTTAGAATAAAAAACTAGTGAGTCTATTATGAATGATACATAGGTTACGAGTTACACCCATACGAGTGAATAAACTGATTGGAAGAACAGACTTTGTGCGACTGTGTATCAAACAATGATGTAACTTATGCAAGTACTGTAGATGCATGTTTATTTACAGTAATATCATATTCTTGCAAAACGTATCGTCTTTGAGAAAAAAGGTAACACAAAAAATTGCACTTTGGTATTGAAACATAACACAACATTACGCCTTTTATCCCCGAAGGGGTAGGCAGAGGTGCAAATTACGGCACTTAATACCACTGTAGGGACTGTACAATGTAACACCCATTTTTCACTATTTATGTTATGAGCCCCATGCACAGAAATATTTTCTTTAATATATCTGTGGTCCCACGTAATAGGGGGTGAGCCTATTGCCATATACCGGGCACATTTCCAGACTCCGTTCTAAGGTAAGTAATACTTCGCCCGACTTGGGAATCAAACCCGAGACCCATTGCCCGACAGTCGCACTTGCGACCACTCTGCCAATGAGGCAGTGGTTTAAGCTAAAGTAAGAGGCTATTGAAACTAATTGGTAGTTATGTAGACTTTTTACCTACTGTATTCGTATCGTCTTTCATACGTCTAGTCTAAGGCGTGCCTGTGGTGCTTAACTCGTCGAGTACCGGTTTTGTAGACACAATTATAGAACAATAGGTTGCGGTCACCGGTGACCGCTTGGTGTTTGACAGTTTAATAGGGTTTATGATGCGATAAGAAAAGTATGGTCTTTAGGTGTACGAACCACACCTGGACAAATGTAGTGTAAAGCAGCGAGGTGGAGCGACGATATCTGCGAAGTAGCTGCCCTCCAGCGAGGTGGAGCGACGATATCTGCGAAGTAGCTGGAAGTGGTTGGATGCGACAAGCTTGAAAATCGTCTGATCAAGTGACGGACTATTAGAGGAGCCTATGTCCAGCAGTCAAAGGAATAATGGGCTGATTATAATGATGCAATTGTGGATTTCTAAGTAGAAATAGCCATAATAAAAATCATGGGTAAAATCAAGCAAGATTTGTTTACGGAATTACAACCGTTATCTAAATACCTACCTGTAATTAAAATATAATGTTTATGTTTTATTTTAAAGAAAAATACCTTTTTTCTCTATTTAGTGAGAACCATCTTATTAAAAAAAAAGGAAGTTTGATTTATAGACGATTAAAAAATCCGATAATAGGTCTGCGCTTGCGCATCAACATTTAATCTACTCCACATTTTTAACATTACGCGCGATCAGTGGACCGCGGCTTTTAAGTAATAGATTCCACAATAAATTATACTTTCATAGATACATAGATAAGCTAAAATCTCTCTCTACAATTAAATTACACATTTGTTTTACAGCCTACGACCTACACGGTCTGCACAACGGAATAAAATTCGTACACGGAATAATTTTTGCACCAAGTCGGTTCAAAATTATAGGCGCAAATTGTTATCGCCTGTGCAGATTCCTCCACAAAATTTTGTGTTGCAAAATTGCGAATCAGGAGAGGTTTTTATGGTACATCACTATGAAGGTTTTTTCGAATAGAAAATAATTTATCAGTGGTGGTTATACTTGAATATAATGTAAATCAATTTATTACTTGAAAGAAAGAAAGCAAGGGCAACATTAATGTAACTGTTTTCTACTCATAGTACTTTGAAATAAGCAACATAATATAACCAATTTACAACATTAGGGAGTTTAGATTTCTTTACATTAAACTGTCAAACACCAAGCGGTCACCGGTGACCGCAACCTATTGTTCTATAATTGTGTCTACAAAACCGGTACTCGACGAGTTAAAGAAACATACATAACATAACATAACATCACGCCTTTTAGCCCCGAAGGGGTAGGCAGAGGTGCACATTTCAGCACTTAATGCCACTGTACAATGTAACACCCACTTTTCACTATTTATGTTATGAGTCCCATGTAATAGGGGTTAGCCTATTGCCATATACCGGGCACATTTCCAGACTCCGTGCTAATACTGAGATTTTTAAAACCCCAGTAATACTTTGCCCTAATCCTTCTGTGTTAATCCACTGTCGTACTTTGATTGTCTTTTTTATATTTTATTTATGCTGCATCGTGCCTGGTGCTAAATAAATGTTTTTTCTTTCTTTCTTTCTTTCAAACAGAACCTATTTATTTATTTCTCATCACTGTCCATTGTTCCTTCAGCACACCAGACATATTGTTTTGTAAACAAACAACTCTGTTACAATAAAAATATAAACAATATTACATTTACCAACACATGCAGCCAGAAGAAAGGCATTATTTGTCTTTGGACTACATATTATTAGAAAAGAGAATTCATATTTCAAGCATAAAATGGTATATGAAATGTGTCAAGCCATGTTATGTTAGTTATGCTTTTATAATCTTATTTGGCAGAGGTAAAGCCCTAAAGGCCCCAAAATCGAGTAAGATATTAAATGAGAATACACTGCTCGCTAAATCTTTCTTTAGTCATATCTTATAAGACAAGAAGACTTTTTTTATTCAATCTGCATCACGTCTTGTACTATCAAGACTTGACTTCTTATTAGAAAAGATTTAAAATGATTTTACTACCCATATGATGTCTAATATTGGACAAAACAAAAAAAGAAACTAAATATCTTCTGTCCACCCTTTTAAAGGGTACATAGGTATGTATAATATGGATTAAATTATCAAAATAATTAACAACTACCACCCACATAAATTCTTATCAGACTAGGAAGAATTTTTGGTAGGATGTGAACATTATTACACAATAGGATTCATCTATGTACTCACTGAAATTGTTGATAATGATAATAGCTAAAATAATTAATAAAACATTCAATAGAAACTGTTTCAAATTAAAGTCTTCTACAAAAAAAAGTAAGAATCTCGTCTGTGGTTTTGAAAGGATGTTCTCTGCTTTTTTACAGTTTGAACTTTATTGTTCTTATTTTAAAATTTATAGGTCAGTAATAATGTCGGTACTAACAATTCCAAGGTCACATCTTGACATTTATTTGTATTGATTCTGCCACAGTGCCACTTGCAGAATGTGATCCTTTCTACGAGTTCTACAGCATAATATGTATGACCCTAGGAATTATTAATAGTGTACAACTACTATTACAGTGAAACTTTATATTCTAATTTTAATATGCACAGTGTGCAATAATTAGTTATGTATGGTAATAATTTATAAAGCATGTTTAATATTTTCATTATCATTGTTTATTAATATTGCATTACAGTTTAAACATTTTATAGACACGTTAATTCGTAGTAAAATTGATGTTACGTAGGTACTGTGTAAACAAGTAATTATTATATCATAGGTATAACTATAAGAAAACAATAAAAACTTACCTCTATATTTCCCATAGTTTGAAACGCAGTGAAGACAAACATAAACCCAAATCCAAGGATTATAACGTTTACAAATTTTCGATTCATTTTGCTGATGATTATTGTTACGGAACTATACTAAAAAAAATCTAAACTAAATGCGATACGTATACTAATGAGATACGGTACGGGACTCAACAGTCCAACTTCTAAAAGAGAACTGAGTTGTTGACGTATTTTTCAATGATATTACACGCAACTCTGATCTCCCTCCACCACTAAGCGAGCAATAAAAGCAAAGAAATTATGTTTTCTTACATGTAAATAAATACACGACACGAAGCCTGTTTTAGCTGTCAATAATGGATGTCAATTGTCAAAACTGTCATTTGATTTAGTGACATTACTGACATTTATTGCCTTTTTTATTTATTTCCTGATTTGGTACGTGAACTTTTGGTACTTTCGTAATGGAAGTACGATTCTTGTGCGATTTATTTTTGATTTTATGGTAATGCACAACTGCACAAGCAAGGACGTTGAAAAAGAGGGTCCTAGTGCATAAGTAAAACAGAGGGCGTGGTTTCTTCGGTTTTGTGTCTTATTGAATGGTTTAAGTTGTGATTAATATAATTAGCAAACTTAATTTAGTACAATAAATTTTCAGAATTCAAAGATTTTGAACAAAAGAAGGTTCAATCGCTATATCTTGGTATCTATAATAAACGTATTCTTAAATCGATACACATAAAATCATAACAAATCATCGCGACATCTATGCGAGGCAACGTTTTATTCACTCTATTTACGTTTAATTAGCACCCATAGATTATATAAACTTACTTATCTGTACTCTTCCTTCTTTGATTTATTTAGTAATTAGATATTGTCTGTGCTTATTTTATTTTTCTGATTCATCAAGTGAATTATATTGCTGGATTTAAATACGTAAAATTACAAACTAATATGTTAATTTTAGTGTTTTAAGTGATCAATGGAAATGTAGTGCCTTATTGTGAATGTTGTGTGGTTTAATTTACGTATAAATTCACTGCTTCATCTTTGATGAGGATGATCTCATTGACGTTCTGACATTACAGTCTTTTTAGCGGATTCTTGATCGTTTTATTATTTTGCTATTGGGTCCAATGACCTTGTAACTTAAAAATAATTTCATCGAAATTTAATAGTGACAATGAGGAAACAGTTTTATAAGGTTAAGCAACTCGCCGACCAAACGTTTTCAAGGTATTAATATGTACTTTACACTATCTTAGCTATCTGATAAGATTCACCTCTTTGTGGGTTTGGCCCGATGTTATTGTAATCCTTAACTTGTATCAGTTGCATTAGAACCGATGCAGAAACTAGTATCATGAGAAAGAAGTACTCAATATTTTTCTTTTGATTTATTTTGTTTGCAATTTTGAGGCATTTGCAATTTTTAATAAAATATTAATAAATAAATTATTTTCAGGTCAGGTAAAGCAGAAGGATTGACAGATGAGTTACAGACAGCAGACAGAAAGGTAGAACACTTGAGAAATGCCTTACAGTTGGTTAGCAAACGGTTGTCAACGGGAGCTGGCAGTACACAGGGCCAGGACCCCGCAGCCAGAGAGAAAAGACTGAAGAAACTGCCAGAATACCTCCTTGGATTGTCTATGTGTGAAGCCAGTAATTTTGATGACGATGATAGCATTTTAAAATACATTTTATATGAATGTGGTGAGTACCTTATAATATTCTAATTAGAATTAATGGGAAAATTAAATATGAATACTTATTGAACAATTTGGTTTTCCTTTTAGGTAAAACTGAAAAATTTTTGGCCAATGAGATAGCCGAGCATGAGCTGAAGGTGGAACAATTAGTTTGTGCACCATTAACAACTATTAGTGACCAGGATCTTCCGGCCATAATGAAAGCTAAGAAACAACTTAATAGACTTATGAGTGAAAAGGAATCCGCCACTAGCAGATATCATGTGAGTTATATCTGTGATCTTATTTATCTAAACTTATCAGACTGTTGAATTTAGAGATGAACTTCTTATTTTCTTATCAGAAACTAATAGATTTTGTCACATAAACAAAACCTTTAAACCATGTTGTGATACTTGAGATGTTTTCAGTGTCAATATAATCTGTTTATCTTGAATATATCTACAATATATAAATAAAATATGATGTTATAGTTCTGTTTCAAGAGGGTAGGCCGAAACAACAGTGCCTCTCTATGATTCTTATATAACTTCCATACTTGTATACATGTGGTCATGTCGTAAACCAGTTAAGTGCATACTGTACCCGGTCTATGTCTTAAATCTATCCTTTGTCCTGGTCAGCTTACCTGCCAGCTTACCTTATACCACAAACATTACAATCATTTGTAAATTTCGACATTTTATTCATTGAAATATTAAATATTAAACCTGTTATAATATAAATATATAAACTGTTTATTTATTAATATTATTATGTATAATAAATCTACACCAAATCATGTACAATACATGTAAACACAGGAAATATGTGTATTTGCAAATATAAATTAATTAGTCAAAATGAAATGAAATTAGTTTATTTTAAAATTGTGAGTGCTCCCATTGTTTAAATATTCAAGCATTCATTACCCTTTTTGCATGGATCAAACTCATTTTATGGTTATTTATTTTGATTAGATATTTGATATGATATTCAGATTAACTGAAAATCATGATTCATGTGATAAAGTGTTGTGTGTAACGTAACTGTATCCTTTTAGCACCTAGAACGTCAAAAAGAAGAGAATCCAACAAAATTAAATGCTGCAAGAGAAGAATTGGAGGATGTTGGAATCAGAGTGGAGGCTGCAAGGGATGCTCTGGCCGCGGACATGTTTGCACTTGTCGCAAAAGAAGCCCAACTTGCCCACACTCTTCTGCAATATGTTAAGCTACAGAGAGCATACCATGAGTCCGCATTACATTCCTTACAAGACACTGTTCCGGAGCTAGAAAGATTTATTAGTAAGTACAATGATTTGTTGAGTCTTAAAAACGTAGCTTAGTGTTGTTTTTATCATTTATTCATTATCATAATCTCTTTATTTTTCTTTTTTATACTAACTATCGTGAGACATACTAAATTAACTAAAAATCACGGATTACTCACGTGAAAATACTGAGAAAAGCTCTACTAGTTTCGAACCGCAGAGAGTTTCTTCCTAATGAACAGCGTGCGCGGTCGCGGCGATATCGCGCAGCGAATACAGCCTATAGACCTTTTCTCAGTATTTACACGTGAGTAACCCGCGATTTTTAGATATTTTTCTCCTTATTATATATCTATTTACTATGACTTTCCTTTATTTTCGTAATATTAAGTTGTTTTGCTTTTGGAAACGTTTTTTTTTATATTTGCTTTCTTCATCTGTAATAAATAAAAAGTTTATTTCAATTATTGGTTTAGTCATTCTAGTTGTTTATTGGTATCAGTCCTATTTTTACATCATGAACTCTTTTCCTCTTATAATTAATTATAATTAGAAAAATATGTTCAGTTCATTTCTGACCTTTGTTTTATAATTAGATGTCTGTGCAAATTGTTTTATCAACATCCTTTTAATATTCAATAATGATTACCATACAATGATATGCATGGCGGTCTGTTAGGAATACTAAAAGGGAAATATCAAAATTATCCTGTTATAACATTTGCATTGGTTAGTTGTTATCAATATGTCGCGACAGGATATAGAATAGTTATAATTTGTATTTTTTTTGTATTATACCACTTTTATATTTAACCAAAGTGTAGGTAATGTTTTGTATTTTATTGCAATACTTGACTGAAATATTTCGTTTCGTATTGGTACTTTTTAAGCATTTTTTTTTTGCTGAACAAGTAAAACACATTTTTTTATTTTAAACGATTTTAATGGTCTGTATTTTACCAATCAAGCCCTTTCGTTTGATATCCAAAACGAAGGTAGTTGTGTAAAAAATGTTTATATTATATCGCGCGCCCCTCAAATAGCCATCAGACCACCACGGATGGGGGCCCAATAGGGCTGATGCCGATACGGAGCCGCGGAGGACTTAACGGGTTGCCGGGGCTCCGACTCGATAGGCGGGAGTAGGAATGGGGTGGTTTTTAGTCAGTAAGATTCTGACTCTCCCTCCCGCCTCACCCAGGCGGGAGAAGTAATTCGATGATTTTCCCCCCCTTAAAAAATGGTCATATAGAGTGTGTACCAAATATAAGATCAATCTGACGTCTAGAAGGGATTTAAATTCCAATTACTAGATTCAAACATGCAAATCGTTTAACAAACATAATGTGATTATAAAAATATCCTTTGTCGAGCGTGAGAGCGTTTGTACCCGGGACATAATGTGAATCAGATAAAAAACTGTGGGGATCGAACACACGACAAACAGCTTGTTGCAGTTGCACAGCAGCTACTTGCTCAGTCTTTAGGCCAACTGTGCAACTGCACTTTTCATATGCAATAAATTATTTGCTCAGATCGAATAATTATACACCGTGATATTTATTTCGTTTTTGTCCCACGACAAAACAACTTGCTATAAGGAGTACTTTTGATGTATAAAGTACATAGGTAAAAACAAAAAAAATATTTAAAAAAATATTCATTGATTTTCGCATATGAGATAGGTATTACATGTAAATTTGTAGGCACTATTCGCATCACACGTGCCACCCACCGAAAACAACCTTCTCGAGAATTACATGGCTTGATTATGGTTCTGATTATGTACTATGAATCCGTATGCACTTTCGAAGTTGCTTTTTGCAATGGGTCACTTATATTTTGTTTTAAACATTTTATTTCTTTGCAAAACTATTATACTACCGAGACAGAACCATTTTACTTCGGGGCGAAAACAAAGTAAATAGTGTAAAATTTTAAAAATTAAGTTAAGTACTAATTTCAATTTTCCTTTGATATTCGTACATACACATGTTCATAACCACGTAGGAAAATTGAAGTACCTACCTACCTATGAAATTTAATAAATCAAAATTGTAATGAATATCATATTTATTAATTATTATTAACTAGCTTCTACCCGCGACTTCGTACGTATAATTCCGTTTTTCCCGTTCCCGTTCGTGATTTTCGGTAAAAAGTCCTATGTTTCCTGGTTTTAAACGACCTCCCCACCAATTTTCATCCAAATCGATTTACCCGTTCTTGAGTTATATATATTGTAACTATTACTACTTTCTTTTATAATTATATATAGATATAGATATTGAAATGAGTAAAGTCTACACAGCTATGACATCGAACATCGAATATCATACAATTGAATGGCTCCAAATCTTCGTTCAATAAATTATGTATGCTTCCTTTGGATCGGTGTAATGTACACATCCGTCGTGGACACATACACGTATGTAGGTACATCACATAATACTTCCGCCAGACGACTGGTGGACTGTACCAATTTAGCGATGTAGGCAACCGTAGCTGTTGACTATTGTAATATTATATTGAACGCAATACGTCATCCAGTATGATAAAAACACGTATCGAGAGAGCAAAAATAACATACCTAAGTAACTGATTTTCCCTTGAAATAGGTAAATCGGAACCTAGAGGGTCAGACTTTGTGCCTGGTTCTAAAATACACGTGGCGTATTTTCTATTCAAAGCAAAGTGGGCATATTGCTTTGTCAATAGGTCTGCTGAATACAGGGTGTAAACGAACGCTACCGAAACAGAACCTAACGGGTTACCGGGGCTCCGGCTCGAAGCGCAGGAGAAGGAAAGGGGTGGTTTTTAGTCAGTAAGAGTCTGACATTCCCTCCCGCCTCACCCAGGCGGGTGGAGCCATTTGATGATTTTCCCCCTTAAAAAAAATAGGGCAAAGAATGCGAACCTTTTTTCTAAAGATATGTTTTTGAGGTACTACATGTGCCATCAAAACAATTTTGGCTTTTGTAGGTCGTTCGTCGTTCGTTTATACTGAACTGGAGTCGTTTGTGTAACTCTGAATGTTTAATGTTATTCATATCTGAAAGTAACGATATGTATAGGACAGATTTTGCAATAAATGACGTGCCCAAAATATTGTGCTGCGTGACATCATTGGCACGCGTGCCAAGGGTTCGCAAATCCTGGTATAGGGTAACATTTATACACCTGGTGTGCCGGAACGTAGATACACGCGAGACTCAATGTGTTTTCTATTGTGTCTCACGGCAAAGACAAGAGGTTAATATGTTCACTTCTGGATTTCCTGACAATGAAAGACGTAAAATATTGGATAATGTTTTTATAATAACTACCGTGAGACATACTAAATTAACTAAAATCGCGGGTTACTCACGTGAATATATTGAGAAAAGGTCTACTAGTTTCGAACTACAGAGGGGTTCTTCTTCATGAGCAGCGTGCGCCGTCGCGGCGACGTCGCGACGCTCACTGAGCCACTGCTCCTTATGAGGAAGAACCCCTCTGTGGTTCGAAACTAGTAGAGCTATTGCATAATGGATTACTTACCACCATATACAAGCATAGCCACCATTAGGTGGCTATACTATTAAATGCACCAAATGTGTTACCATGCGTACATTCCTCATCGAGTACCAAAGAAAATCAGAAATTAGATACTTTATATGCATCCCACGCAAGAATCATGTCTTGGTCCTAATGAGGTAATCATTCCATTAAGATTTGCTTTTTTAAAATCTGGTTTGCATACTGGCAATAGCAAATTACTTTTCAAGTCAAATTGTGAACTTTTAAATTCCTAATAGGAAAGTTAAATAAAACACACGCTTCATTCATAGATATTTATTTAAAAAATAGGTAGGTACATAAAATCATAAACGTTTTTCAATCATAACCTATACTCGGAATTTTAATTCGATTCCAGATTTGACAATTTCAGTGTTACAACGTTATGACAAGTACTAAATAGTGACGTTGAGAAATTATTCGATATGGAAATGCAATATTTCTGGATCGATTCTTCTCGTTTATAATTTTGCTCTCGTAAACTAAGTATATCAGGAAATTAAATATTTCTGAACCGATAATTTAGTTTTGACGATTAATTAACGATCTGAGACTTTTCTTTTATAATTGTGTGTGAAATAAATAAAAAATGTAATCATGAAGGAACATGACAAATAAAACAGATAGATGTATTATGGTAATAAGTTATTTTATAAATTGTCGCCGTCATGGCTATCGCTATCCTGTCACTTTCTGTAACATTTATTATAAAACACACACAGTGATTGTTTATCGATTTTTGTTTCCATCACTACACTATTATATGTGGTATCATTATTTCACAAAATGACAGTAGCTATTGTCAAATCTGGAATCTAATTAAAATTCTGACTATAATTCTTAACTGTAGAATAAAATTGACATTTGACAGTTTTCAGTATAGATAAATTGTAAAATTCAAAGATATTTCTCAGTTAAAATTTATCTGGCGTTGGATAAATCGGCCCTTAATGTTCCAACCGTAACATTTCGTGCAGGTTAAATAGAATGGAATCATCAAGTCACTCCGAAAAGAATAATTTTTAGTATTCAGAAGTACAATAATGTTGTCATTAACAATATTCAAAAAGGATATAAAATGTTAATCCTTGATCTTTTAAAAATGGCCAATTAGGTAGTGTATTATTTCTAAGTACTATGTACTCAATTAATAACTACCAGGTACTTACGTGTAATACATAATAATTTACAGATTTTCCTTTTCAATCACTTACATGGCTACCCATTACCCGTTTGACAGTTCAAATCAAAATTGGAAACGCCCATCGTCAAAATACCGGTTTTTCCTGTGAATAAAGTATAAATAAGGTTTTATTTTAATGTCCGTTTGGTAGATTATTTAAAAACATTAGACACGTATTTTTTATTTTCTTACGGAAACGAATAGTTTCGAAGAATAATTGATTTGAAATATCGCATGATATAACTTTTGAGTACCATGTATGTACCATACTCTAAAATGACGTAGCTATCCCCACTACTAAACTTTGATTCGTTTTATCTAAGTATTGTTTTCTTATAGGACAAAATAAAAAAATACGTGTCTAATATTTTTTCATTACCTAACTGACGGACTTTTAATTTTCATATCCTGTCACCATCCCTATTATACATTAATAGCTTTTGTAGTGGCTGTTTAAAATTCTAGCAAGATTATATTTAATAGTTATATGCATTCAGCAATATTTGTCAGTATAAAGCAATTGACCTTCAAAACTTTCGTCTTTATTTACTTAAATAATTGTCTAGTATATGGAATACACATTCGTTTTAATATATTCAAACAATTTTGATAGCAGGATACATATGCTTTTATCCTATACTTAATATGGTACGGCGAACATATACACAGGAACAACAGACCAATATTTATCAATGTATGTAGACTGTAGACACACCAGCACCCCAAATCGGGAACATGCTCCAATCAATCAATTTTCGTCTTTATTAATGGGATAATAAAGTTAAAAATCCAAATAACATTTGACTCTTGAGGATACTAGATGTGCTGGCGTCTTAACTGCGCTTGCTTCCTTCTAGTTTAAGAATAGTTATAGATACAGCTATGAATATTAAAAGGTGATTGGATAAAAATTTGGCTACAAATAAATGCGTACATACATATTATGTTTTTAGTTCTTACCTTCTGATTTATACTTGAATGAAATACACGAAACGGAAGATGTAGCGTATTGGCCTCGCCTATGTGAACCGAAAGGTATCATTAGCTACGAAGGACTAAGATATCTGCGACTCTAGTGATGATGAATTATCATCAACTTTGCGTCTACTGTTCTGCTTCCCACTTGGCGGTTTAAGGGAAGGCCTATATCTAATGGACAGAAATACAGTAATGATTATATATGTATATTGACATAGTTACCTTTTGTTACAGATGACAGCTCCGTAAAGCCGGTGTTTGGATATCCCCTAGAAGAACACTTGAGAGTGACAAATCGTTGTATAGCGTTCCCAATTGAGTTATGTGTGTGCACGTTACACGAACTCGCGTTGAATGAGGAGGGGCTCTTTCGAATTGCCGGCGGTGAGTAACAGGAAAATTTACCGATATATTATGTGTTGTAGAACAAATTAAGCAAATATTGCAATGGAACGTTATTCAATTGATTCATTTAGTAACATTTAGAGGCGGGATTAGGCATTCTCATTCAGCCTAGTAGGGCTGATGTCTGACCCTCGGAGCTGCGGAGAGCTCGAAAGGGTTGCCGGGGCTCCGGCTTAAAGCAAAAATAGGAATGGGGTAGTTTTTTTTTGTCAGTAAAAGTCTGACACTCCCTCTCGCCTCACCCAAGGCGGGAGAAGTCATTAAATACTTTTCCCCACTCAAAATAAAAACCATTCGCACTTATCAAGATAGTGTAGTCGAAGTGCAGATATAATACCTATATGGTAGGTGCATTGTTTGTCGTGTCGTATGACTCAAGTGTTCTCGGGTTTGATTCCCGTGTCTCATCAATGTATTACCAGGATTTTCGATATTCTCAGTAATATGAAGTTTGAAACCGTACTCGCTGTTTGATCAACGTCTGGTCCATTGTGTGCACGAATAAAGAAGATGTTTATATATTACTAATTGAACAAGTATTGCAAACAGATTTGTTACCATTAAGCAAAAGGTATTCGATAAATAGGGAATAACAATAACTCGGATCAATTGGGTTGTTCCAAACAAACTTCCTCAAATTATGTTTATTGCGTATGTGACTATTGAAACCTAGTGTAATAAACACTGGCTTCAACATGCATTCAACCGTATTCAATGCATTACTTGAATGCTTTAATGTTATATTATGTACAGCTGTGGTCATACTCTCATAACAAGTATATTATTAGAACAGATTACTTCCATTGTGTTTATCATAACATCCCCAGTACTAAACTCGGTACGTTTGTATCTTTCAGGTACTTCCAAAGTACGCAGAATGAAGCTGTCACTAGACGCTGGCCTGTTCAACGTCCCGCTCCCCCGGGACTACAGGGACATGCACGTCGTCGCTTCAGTTCTCAAGAGCTACCTCCGAGAACTGCCCGAACCATTATTGACGTACCGACTCTATGAGAACTTTGTGAACGCATCCCGTCAGCCTTCAGAACAAACTCGACTTAACGCTATCTGGGAAGCCATACACTTACTGCCCGAGGCTAATTTCCAAAATCTTAGGTATCTTATCAAATTTTTGTCTACTTTGACACAGAACCAAAGTACAAACAAAATGACGCCGTCGAACCTCGCCATCGTGATCGCTCCCAACCTGCTGTGGGCCGCCGACGAGAGCACTTTCGACATGAACATCACCACCGCCGTCAACTGCATCGTAGAACTGCTCATCAAACACGCCGACTGGTTCTATAAAGACGACATCAACTTCTTCATTTCATTCACCAAAGAGGATCTTCTTCCAGATCAATGCGAGTACGGGTTTTCACCCAACTTCGTGCACGGCATGAACCAAACTGCCGCGCTCAGTCAGGAACCAGCTAACGGCGACTACAGCAGTATGAGCCGGTCCATGTTCGACTACAACCATCACAGCCTGGCCAAGGTGGCCGACGGAGGCGGACGGCACTCGAGGAGCAACAGTCACGACACTAGTTTAATATTGTTAGAGAACGATATAAAGAAGGCGCAGTCCAACAGCTCGTTGTCTGATCAGTCTAGTCCCCCCCATGGTAGTCCTAAGCCTATAATGAGGCGAAAAAATAAACCACTCGCTCCAGTGCCGCCTAACTTTACTCCTGACAAAAATAAGAGAGTAGAGCCTCAGCCTCCTGCACCGGAGGTTGTTAAAGAACAAGCAAGTACAAAGATAGATAACGACAAGCCTGCCAAACCTCCCCGACCCGTGATATCCGACAGCGGCAAGGTGATCTCAGGCGTACAGACAATAAACCGCTCCACGTACAGACAGAACCGCGCCATGAAGGAGGAGGCGGCGCGCTCTAGTAGTCGCGAGCACCTCGCCGACACGCGCCGGCAGAGCCTCGAACTAGACAAGGACAAGATCGACGTACTCAAACCACCTGAGCCAGGGAAAGAATCCACACTCGTGGTGAAAAATGTAACAGCACAGACTGGAATCGTGAGCAGAATGAAAGTAGTGGGAGATGCGTTCAGTGGGCCCGCGTCACTGGGCGCCGAGCGATCCGCGCCCACCGTCGACAAGGTCGTAGCGGCGCGGCTGCAACCTATTGCCAAGCCGGCCGGCCAGGCCCCGCCCCGGCCCGTCGCGGCCCCGCGCACCATAGTGCCCGCGCTGCCCGACCCCGCCCCCGCAGCCCCGCCAGCGCTCACTAGCTCCGCTGCCGAGCCGAGCGACGTCCAGCTCCGCCACAAGCCGGCCGTGCCAGAGCGGCCCGCCACGCTGCGGCCGCAGAGCTTCCGAGCGCCTCGCTCCTCACTCACCGACGCCCCGGACATAGCGCCCACTGTACTGGAGCGCACTCACATCTACACCGTGGACAAGCAACACCCGACCGTCATACAGGTGGGAGCTAGCGCGGCCAGTGCGGCGGACAAGGAGGCGGAAGAAGTGCCGCGCGCCACGGTGCAGCGCACGCACAGCTCGGGCGGTCGCGACGGGGAGCTGGAGGAGCCGCGCAGTCTGTGCGTGGCCAGCCGCCAGCTGTCGCAGTCGGAGGGCGACATCACGGACTGTCCGTCCCCGCGGCCGCAGCCCTCGCGCCCCCCGCGCCCGCTCGTGCCGGCGCCGCCCCCGCCGGTGTCCGCGCCGGCCGCGCAGGCCACACCTATTCCAGTGACACAGCCAGCCCAGCCGGCTCAGCCATCCCAGCCTGCCCAAGCAGCTCAGCCAGCTCAGCCTGCGCCTCAGGCGCCTGCGGCTCAGGTTGCGCAACCCCTGAGAGAGAGTACAGATCTCTAGCCGTCGCTATTCGTCCCAGTGCCCATGCCGAGGTTAAAACGTCGTCGTTAATTCGACGTTTGACTGCTTTTGCAGACGGCGCTACACCGTGTTTGCTACGATACTGGTCTAAAATACTAATCTAGTTTTCGCAATCGTGAATTTATTATGAAGTCGCAACGAGACTGATGTTCGCTCTTATTTTCTGCTATGCCGTGTCTCGGTCGCGTAGAAAAAGTTATTTGAGAAACGTTTTTCTTTGCATCAAATGAGTATTATGTATTTATTTTTATAAAGTGTAGCATTAATACTAAGATAACACGTGATAATTTGAATAATATTATCTATCTATTACCAAATTAGAAATTACAGCTTTTGCGTAATACGTAGGTCTGACGATTAATCATTGACCCCTGGAATATTATTCCAAAAAGACATATCGGTTAGATTGTCTATATAGCTTTTTTATTAAATCTAATTTTATCAAAATAATGGAATGTTGTAAACTAAGTTTGTACAATGAGTGAATGTTGCAATTAATACTTGTGATATTAGAAAAGTATAACCACACTCCCGGTCAATGACCGCTAGCGGGAGCATGCACAAATGTAATTGTAACGAACAGCCATATTTTTAATGATTTTTGTGATGGAATATACCATGGAGCACGGCACTGGCCAGCGCCGGCGAGTCATTTTATTTGCTAGCCATTGTGACGCGTTTTCGACTATTTGGCTGCTACATAGATTTTATTTTTTGTAATCAGAGTTAATTAAATTGTATTTATAAATTAATCCGGCGTTGACCAACTGAACGAGTGCGCTATGGTAGTATTCCGTTGACTTGTCAATGCATTAGATTTAGAAATGGACGCAATGCTGTTTTAATGACTATTATTTTAGCTATAAGTATGTTATGTAGTGTTTACAATCTTATGTGATATGCATTTTATTATTATATACTTCAAGTATACCAGCTTCTGTTGTAAGTATTAATAAAATAGCCCAAACATTAAATTAGATGTTTCAATACTACAAAATTAACCCACCTCACCAGGCTTCTCTTATTCGCCTATAGATAGCCTCTTTAGTCATTGTTCATGTACCAAAAATTGTGTACGTTACCCAGATGTTGTCGAAAATGGTCATTTGAAATTAGTTGTGCGGTTTTTGTAATTGTTGCGCACATTTTTTAAATTGTTGCGCTTTTAGTTTTTTATTATTACACAATAACACTTCCTGCTGGGGTATCGTTACCCCAGCCAGACCTATTTCGTTCTAATGGGAATATTTAAATATTTACTAGCTATAAAATTAGTTGTCTAGATGAAGTTAATGTTGTGGCTTATTTTGTATTTGTTCTTTCATCGGTTGCGAAGTTATCCAAGATTTTGCTGGGGTAACGTTTTTGGTTTTGCTAGATCTTTGAAATGGTTAAGCGGATTCTTATCATATGTTGTACATGGCTTTTTAGGAATTAGTTTAAATTTGTTCTGTAATAAAAAAAAACAAAATTATACAAAACTAAGGTTATTTCATTAACTCGTCGAGTACCGGTTTTGTAGACACAATTATAGAACAATAGGTTGCGGTCACCGGTGACCGCTTGGTGTTTGACAGTTTAAATAGAAAAACAATTCAATTGGTCCATTGTTCATTCATTTCATTATCACTTAAAATGACTACCTCATTGGTCGAGTGATGGCAAGTGCGACTGCCAGGCAAGGGGACTCGGGTTAGATTCCCGGGTCGGACAAAGTATTATTGGGTTTTTAAAAAGATCTCAGTAGTAGCACGGAGTCTGCAATTGTACCCGGTATATGGCAATAGGCTCACCCCCTATTACATGGGACTCATAACATAAATAGTGAAAAGTGGGTGTTACATTGTACAGTGGGATAATGTACACCTCTGACCCCTTCAGGGATAAAAGGAATGATGTTATGTATGTAATTATTTAGACATTCTCATTAGAAAGAAAAAGGTCTGGCTGGGGTAACGTTATCCCAGCAGGAACTGAGAAACTATAAGCGCAACAAATTTTAAAATGTGCACAACAATTACAGAAGCTGCACAACGATTTATCCATAAGATTCAAATAACCATTTTCGACAACATCTGGCCTGGGTAACGCACACCCAAAAATTGTATTGTGAACCTGATTGAAAAAGAGTAACCTATTGCGTTTCTCGCTCGTTCTTCTCCATAGGAATCTACACTTTGGAACGAGCATATAGCTTCACTAGAGGATTAACCAACAGATTGACATTTTTTCTTATTATTTAATATTTATGTATTTTGTTTTGACGTTTAAAAGTGCGTTCCTGGTCTAATTGAAACAAATGATTTTGACTTTGTTCTATGCCAAAAAAATTTTGAATAAAACAAAAGTGTCACTAAACATCTCTATATTACGTCTGCCATTTCACAATATAATAGTTTCGTTTGCCAACTCTAAGCAAGGACAATAAGTTAGGTAGTATGTGCGCAGACTGGGTGATAACTTCATCAATCTTCTTTACTTTCTGGTGGTTGATGTAGAAACCGCCTGCTTGGATGATCCTCATTGCATCGTCTGTAAATAGAAAATGTTATTAGTAAATGATTGAGAAGAGGTAGAAGTATTTATCGTATCTAGTAAAATCACACCTAGCCCATAATGAGGCCCTCCCTTATGTGGGGGCGTGCAGAGTATGTGAGGTCATGTAACTCCCATTTTTTGATATCACTTAAAATGAAATGAATGAACTTAAAATGACTACCTCATTAGTCGAGTGATGGCAAGTGCGTCTGCCAGGCAAGGGGTTTTGGGTCAGATTCCCGGGTTGGTCAAAGTATTACTGGGTTTTTAAAAAGATGTCAGTAGTAGCATTTGCAGCATATCCGGATTTGTGCCCGGTATACGGCAATAGGCTCATCCCCCTATTACATGGGACTCGTAACATAAATAGTGAAAAGTTACATTGTACAATGGCATTGAGTGCCGTAATGTGCACCGCTGCCTACCCCTTCAGGGCAAAAGGGCGTAAAAAAAGCTTAAATGTGGTGATGTTACACCATTCGACAATTAATTTATGAGACTGATTGAGCAGGTAGGTGACTTAGTTATATGTACGTTCTAAGATTATTTAGACCCCAGTGGCAAATGGTGAAGGGAAATCTCGTGAGGACTGGACTTATAATTTAATAAGTTTGGAATCGCCAACCCGAAATGACTAAGCGTGGTGATTAATGCTCAAACCTTCTCCGTGTAAGAACAGGCTGTGTTCAGCAGTGGACACTTATAGGCTGTTGATGATGATGATGATAAGGACAGTGATTGAGCAAATGGGACCTGAGTCCCATTTGCTCAATCACTGTCCCAACAAATTTAAGTGTGAGAGAGCCATGCTTCGGCACGAATGAGCCGGCTCGACCGGAGTGACACCACGGCCTCACAGAAAACCGACGTGAAACAACGCTTGCGTTGTGTTTCGTCGTATGAGTGAGGTTACCGGAGGCCCAATTACCTAATCCTTAGTCTCCTGAGTCCCCAATCCTCCACAATCCACAAATTGCCAATTCCCGAAAGGCTGGTAACGCACTTGAAACTCTTTGGTGTTTGGGTTGTGTGTTCTTATGCTACAAAAAAAACTATTATGATGATGATAAATATGAAAAAAAAATACTTACTTTCAGTGGGAAAACATTTCGCCTTCATGCCGAGTTCCAGTACAGTTATGCCAGGAGATAGAAGTAGGTTCGTCACTGTCGCATTTTCGAATATCTGCTCCAACTCCGTACTGCTAAGCGTGACCAGAGACTTCACGTCTTTGCTGTATATCGCTTCTGTTGCTTTCATTGCTCGCTCTAATCCCTCTTCTGAATATATTCAAGCATTTAACTTAGATAAAAACACAGATGTTAAGAAGGAGGCAGAGGCATATAATAGACATGAAAACCGATACCGGGAACCTTTGGTCGGTAAGTTGAATCATATTTAGATTCATAAAAAAACTAGTTTGCCTTTCATTGGGGTAGGCAGAGTAGAAAGAACTGTTGGATTGTGGGCGTTACCCAGGTCAATGTTGTCAAAATGGTCATTTGAATCTTATAGATAATTAGTTTTGCAGCTTCTGTAATTATTGCGCACATTTGTAAATTTGTTGCGCTTATGTGTAGTTTTTAAATTATTTCACAAATTCATTTCCTGCTGGGGTAACGTTCCCCCAGCCAGACCTTTTTCTTTCTAATGGGAATATTTAAGTAATTACAAGCTATTAAATGTTGTGCCTTATTTTGTATTTGTTCTTTCATCGGTTGCGAAGTTATTCGAGATTTTGCTGGGGTAACGTATCAGTAAAATTTCAGCTTCAGATAATTATTGAGATAATACGATTAAAGTAATTAGGAAGTGAATGACCGTGGTAACCCGATCAAGTTTAGGTGGTTACGAAAAAGCGCAAATACAGAACATTATACTATCTTTTGAAATGTTTAGTATAGTACACCTTACAATACCGGTACAGACGCGTACATGTTAAATACAGTAATATTTGTGCCATGAAAACATTATTATTATCTTCACGTTGCACAAGCTTATCAAAAATCACTGAATGAATATGGTGAAGAGGCGCATTGTTTGTATATCGCACTAAACATGCTCTGTAATTACATAATTCATCTTATAGAGTGTGCGTGCGTTTCGTGTTATGTTATATAGTCTGTACGCATCGTATCTTTAGTGTTAACTGACCAATTAAATTGTTTTTATATTTAGTGAAATAATCTTTAAGCTATGTATTATTTAAGTTTTTTTATTGCAGAACAAATTTAAACTAATTTCTAAGAAGCCATGTACAAAATATGATAAGAATCCGCCTAACCATTTCAAAGATCTAGCAAAACCAAAAACGTTACCCCAGTAAAATCTCGAATAACTTGGCAACCGATGAAAGAATAAATACAAAATAAGGCACAACATTTACTTCATCTAGACAATTAATTTTATAGGTAGGAATTATTTAAATATACCCATTAGAAAGAAAAAGGTATGGCTGGGGTAATGTTACCCCAGCAGGAAATGTTTTTGTGAAATAATTAAAAAACTATAACCGCAAAAACTAATAACTACATAGTATAAAACACAGTCGCTATCCGCCGTCTGTCTGTCCCTATGTGAGCTTAGATGTTTAAAACTACGCGACGGATTTTGATGCGGTCTTTTTTAATAGATAGAGTGATTCTTAAGGAAGATTTATTATGTATAATACATGCATATTGCACCTGTGCGAAGCCGGGGCGAATCGCTAGTTATCTATAAAATTCAAATGACCATTTTCGACAACATCTGGCCTGGGTAACGCACACAGTTGGATCTGCATACAGCAAGATTTGTTTTCTGCGAATCTAACTGAGAAAAGTATGTTATGTACCAATCAATAAATTCATAGTTATATTAAAGCCAATAAATCAATAGTATGTATCTATAAATCGATATTAAAATGATACTTACTTCCATGTACTAGAGTCGTAAGTTGATCAGCTAAACAAGTCTGTGGGTATCTCTGTTCAGGGTGCTGTTTATGTTTGAACATAATGTCCTGTATTTCGCCAACACTATAGAATGTAAACAATTTCAGTAGATTCTCAACCTCTGAATCCTTTGTCCTGATGAAGAACTGATATAAACCATAAGGGCTAGTTTTCTTTGCATCTAACCATACAGCATTGCCTGCTGATTTACCGAATTTGTCGCCTTCTTCTGTCGTGACTAGAGGTAATGTGAGACCTGTAAATTACAAGATGTAGATTACTAATTTCTTTTGTTATAATTACATGTTTGTCTGTATACTTCAGATTAAAAACTTTTTAGAAAAGTGAGGGCACTTAGATGAAGCAAAAAAGTTATCCTGAGTCCATACAGATAAGATTCTATAACTTCTATATTTAAAAATTAATTCTATAAACATAGAAAAAAAAAAGTAACTTACCATAAACACTTTTCTTTGTAGTTCTACTAATTAATTCATGTCCAGCACTTATATTACCCATCTGATCACTGCCACCTATCTGATATAAAAAAATGATATCAATATTATAAATTTGCTAAGTACTAGTTAGTGGTAATTAAGCTTAGAATATGTTTAAAGTTAAATAAAATCACCTGAAATCTACAGTTGTACTCCTTCAGCAAATGTAACCAGTCATAAGACTGGAATATCTGGTATGCAAATTCAGTGAAACTCATTCCAATTTCTGAATTAATTCTAGACTGTACACTCTGTTTTAGTAACATTGTACCCATGCGGAAGTTTCTACCTATGTCACTCACAAATTGTATGGAATCTATACCTCTGTACCAGGATTCATTGTTGACTACCCTGGAAAATAAAAACCAGCAAATGAACAACACAGTAGTAAATCTAGCTTTCCCCAAACTAAAGAATAAGACTTAAATTAAACTAGTCAAGTTTGAGTAAACCTTAGCACCTGCCCGCGACTTCGTACGCGCAATCCCATTACCGTTCGTGATTTTTTGTAAAAAGTAAGAAAAAAAATTGGATAAAACATATCCTATGTCTGTCTCCTGGTTCTAAGCTACTTCCCCACCATTTTTTATCCAAATCGATTTCATTAGTCTTGAGTTATAAAAAGTGTATCTAGCACAACTTTATTTTATAGTTATATAGTTTAATTAAGCATATCTACATATGTATGTATATAGATATGCTTGATTAAACTTTGTACAAAAAGTTATTCTGAGCACATTAAAGGGATAAAATTGGAATGCAAGAGGTAAACCATAAAAAATTAGAAAGTTAACTAGAAATTACTGAATAATTTAGAAAATGTTCCGTTTATCATTACTTGATAGGTTTAAGTTTACTTTCATCTTTCCTCCAGATATACTTCTTATGGTTTTCAAACACTGTCTCTAGATTATTCTTGATACAATTAACATTGTCTTGTATTACTTCACTATGTAACGCTATTCGGTCTGTGCTCCTTCCACTTGGATCACCAATGTACCCTGTAGCTCCACCTAACTGAAAAATAAAATTTCTTTATGAACAACAAGTTTTGTTACAAAAAAATTGCAGAGAAAATCCTGGTGTCATGCAATCTTGACAGTGAAAATTTACTTTAACATCAAAACACATAACATTAAACTCAGAACACTTTAAAATCCAGACTAAGAGTTAGTCTGGATTTTAACACACTTCCACAAAGATACTTAAAATCATTTTATTTAAAAAAAAAATGCATTTTAAATAAAATGCTTAAAATCATTTTATTTAGCTCTGTTGTCAAGTTCATTTTAATCCATGTAGCACTTTCGACAATTGCAAGAGTGACAGAACTATACTTAATAGTGACTTAAAATTCAGTAGCATTTGTGTGAAAAACTAACAAACATCCATTCTTACAAACTTTTACAAGTTAAATATCAGGTATTAATTCGTACATAAAATATAGAAAAAGATTTTAAAGAAAAATAAAATCTCACCAAAGCAATAACATCATGGCCTCCACGTTGCCAATGCAGAAGGTTTATAATAACAAGTAGGTTGCCAACATGAAGGCTATTTGCCGTGGGGTCGAAGCCAGCATAGACACATTGTGGAGCTTTGTTTAATAAGTCTAATATTTCAGATCTGGAATGGAAATATACAAAGTAAGCAATAGCCTATACAGGTCACAATATATGATTCAAATTTATTTAGCTGTTGGTTTGTATGTCCAGATGGACTGCATTGTTTCAGTGTTTTAATGGTTGCATCTAACTATTGATTCTGACTTGCAAGAGGTGCAGCTATTTTGGGAGGTTGAAGCAGTTCCAATAAAAAAAGTTTGTCATGCTAACTTGTTTCAGGAGACAGGCAAGATAATTATGCATAGGCATTTATTACTAGATCTAGTACGTGCATCTTAAAGTGTCTAAGACCTAATTAATATTTTAAACGTACCCGGCGGTGTTCGGAAACATGTCTTGGTACATCCCGCGTTCACTCAGTTTTAAAATATTTCTGCTGGCATAACTCCGTTTGTAAGATTGTAGCCATGTAGTTTTGGACACACATAATATTTGTTTTAGTAACTTCATGTTTAAAAATTCATAAAATATGTAATGTGAAATATAACCTAAATGTTAAAAATGTGTGTTAAATCTATACTGGATTCACTTTAAAAGCAACATATGTTATTTCTTCAAGATCACAGTTTTCTTTCATAATATTATATAACACGGTTTATTTTATTTTTGTAGGAAAATCTCATTTTCTCTTTCAGGAACTACCGAATCTTTCGTGTTCCTCAACAAATTGTTGACATTTGACAGTTCCTAAGAAAATCATTAAACGCTCTTAGGACCATTGCTTAAAGTTCATAATCGAATGGATTATTTTTGATTGGACGGATTTCGTTCAGAAATACACGTACACACTAATTATTTCTGTAATTTCGTTCAGATCTAAACATAGGCATTTTAATGATAACGATGAGTTTGTTGCCCAAGTTTTCGTAAAGAAATGCAATCGCAGGATTGGAAGAAGTAGCAACTTAACAAGAACTATCACTTGGCACTCAGTCTAGCATACTTTTACTCGTATGAATTTTGCTTATGAATGTCAATGTTTGTAGATGTCTTTTACTCCTCGAAGTTTTTGTCAGAGATGCTATACACCGGCATTGTCGCGGAGAACCTAACGGGTAACCGGGGCTCCGTCTCGACGTGCAGGAGAAGGAACGGGGTGGTTTTTAGTCAATAAGAGTGTGACACCTCACCTCACCCAGGCGGGAGCAATCATTCGATGAATTTCCCCCCTTAAAAAAAATTCACCGGCATTATTTCCAGGCTACTGCCACGGTCACTGCCGTACCCGGGAATCGATCCCCAGACTTCCGGTTCGATAGTACTAAGTTTCTCTGTTTAATAGTCGTACAATAGCAATTAATTAGGACTTGTAATAAAAATCTTATCAAAATATGCCACAATTTCATTTATTTATAATAGTCTACAATTAATTTATGTATTACAATAATTTGTATGTATGTATGTATTTATTTATCGAGACGTATAACTGTTACTTTAGCCAGTCTGTGATCATGATGAGGTATATCAGGGATGTTATTTAAACATGTAAGTATCCAATGTTCGTGTTCACACAGCTTATTTCATAATATAAAGACAAAGATCACACTAATAATAGTACGTCTAAATTCCTAGCACTGGCGCGTAAGCTATATCATTAGCCACATTATACATTAAGATAAATTTCTACATACATTTATCTAGTAGTCATTCACAAAAGAAAGCTATGATTACCCTATCAACATGTTAAGAAAAAATATAGACTTCGTAATAATATATATATAACTCTTTCTATAAAATGTAAAAGTCAGAAGGACATCTTCTGATATAAACATTGCATAATCAACAAACGCTGTGTGAAGCGACTTCGTGACATATTATTTAAATGTATAGATACATAATTATATGTATTTAATTTAAACCTATTTTTATATAAAAAGATAAAAATATATTTTAGAATTTAAAATCGGTAATGTTAGATCTTCAGTCACTCTAAGATTGGCTCTAGTGAAACAAAAATAAAAGTTAGGTATTTAAAGTATTGATGTGCCAGCAAATAAACCTACTCTCCAAACTATGAAGTTTCTTCAATAATATTCGACTTTATTGTAAAACAATAAAGTTTAAAATGTATCGAGGTTTCAGATTTTAGTAGTTTGACAAACTAGGGTCCAACAATTAGGTCCAGTGTGAAAAGGTACTAACAGAAATAACCGACAGCAATATAATTATGATTCACATGGGATATTAATGAAACAACGATGTTAGCGTTAATTGAATATCCACTTCATTGTAGAACTTGTGCTCAAGTATTGCTTAGTATGTTGGACGGAGCTGTCTGAACGATGTATGATGAAATAATAAAAAACTATGAATCCAGAATTTGTTCATGAGAAAGGACCCAGAAACGAAATTAAAATAAAAACAGACTATACTTTTAGTAATTAATTGATATACATTTAATTCTTAACACACCTAAATTACCTCCACATAATACAACAAAAGCCTTCTTATAACTATGATACATTTTATAATTTCTTTTTTTTACAATGTTCCCTTGTGTCCTTTTATTTTTGGTATGGAACAATACTAGTTCTACTAGTTCACAAACTGAGCAAACAAATGCATTAAATACAAACAAAACGAAATGCACCGTAACTAATTAAATAAAAATCAAATAGTGAGTCTGACTGAATGAAGGTGGTCACATTAGGTATCGATAGTAATCGTGTAAACAGATTTCAAATAAACATCAAATGTTGATTGAAACCAAAAATTATAATAAGCAACTTAAACAAATAGAATACACAAAACAAGGAATTATATAATCATTCCATTCAGAGTTTTATAACCACTAGTAAGATAACATAATAATACAATACGCCTTTCTGGAAGAGTTAAGCAGAAGTGGACATATTAAATCTGTTCTGTTAAAACATTTTAATAGATGGCGAGCTTAATGCCGAACACTAAGCACAATACAGCAGTTTGCAGTATTAGGAATTTTTAAAATCGGGCTGTGTTATTGCGTTTTGCCCAATAACATGTAATCGATTTGGAGATCCTTTACTCAGAAGACTCAACCAGTAAACCAGTCAACTGTTATAATACTTTATGGAATACTTTTATGGCAATGTTATAAAATTGATAAAACAATAATACAATGAAATCAGTGACTATAAAACTCAATTAGGAATATAATACTTAATTAATACTTAACATTAAAACATGGAAAGCTACATCAGGTATGACTAATCTTCGAGGGTTACATTTTTGAACAGGTAAGACATGGACTCCTTGTTGTGGATACGTCTGATCGCCTCGCTGAGCAGCACTGATATGTCGATAGTTTTAATCTTGTTACACTGCATCTTTTGTAACTCGTGGGGCACCGTGTTAGTGACCACAACTTCATCAATGGGCGAGTCTTCGATAAGTCGAGGCGCATCAGACGAGAGCAGTCCATGAGTTGCCAGTACATAAATTTTATACGCCCCACATTCCTTTAGCACCTCTGCAGCGGCGACGAATGATTGAACATCATCAATCATGTCGTCCTGTAATAAAATATCAATTTATTGCTGGCTCAATGTTGATTGTTTGATTACAGTGTGAGCATGGTTACTTTTATCTAGATATTAAGTCCTGTTTTATCGCTCCTGGTAAGATTTCTGTTAGTAAAAATTATGAATATTTTGAAATATCTTTTGTATGAAATGAGTTATTAAAGCTAATAGTAGTCAGTTAGTTCTCAGAATATTCAGTTAGGAAATGCCAGCCCTCATCTATTAATTTAAAGATTGATGTGCAAAAGTGTTACTTTGTAGCCTATTTGCAGAAATAAATATCATTTCAATGTCATTCCAATCCAATAAATATAAAATAAATAGTGGTGAATATGAATCTTTTAATGAAAAGAAATATAGGATACTTACCACCATGATAGCTATTCTGCCTCCTACATCGCCAACGACATTGATAGGCGGCTTCTCTTTAGCTGGATGTACAGGAACTCCCACAGACACATCCATAGTACGAGATCGGCTAGAACAGATTCATTTATAATGAATTTGATTTTATTTATAGGTGTATGGCGGGCATCAGTCGAAGAAATCTATCGAAGTAGAGGCCTACCATACATAATTACATATGTATAAAAAGAGAAAAGTCCAGATTCGAATGTATGAACAGAGTCCCCTTTCAGCTCGGGGCCCGTGCCATTTTTTCACCCTGTAATTACGCCACTGGTGGTCATTGTGGTGTAATGCTATATTTGTAATTACAATTAGACCAACCACATAAAGAACTGATAAATGTCAAGAAGTGTGTAAATACTAGCAAAAATAGATATTACTGTTATCATATTCAAGTTTTTCTTATCAGTATGGCGACGATTTACAGTATCAACAAAATAACTTACTTAGGTAAGCAAGGAGGTGAGTAGCGCCCATCAACTTCATCACTTTCAGCTTCCTTCTGTTCGCCGTGTATCACAGCAATAGCTAATCGTAAACGCTCAGCATATGAAGTTGCCTTTTTAGCAGACCCTGGATTACGAGCCACTATCACCGAATTGCGATAATCTGGAATCTAAATTATAATAATTAAGTACATAACTTTTTTCTTTCATCTTTAAATGGTTCTGTATAAGAATCATGTGATGAAATTATTTATGAAAAAACATCTCTTTAAGGTGAATTGGACATAAGCCAAAAGGTAAATGATGCGGAGCTTAAATGTTCTTAACATAATTTATTTATTTGTAATGTGTAGTAATTAGAATGGTGAAATAGTGTTTCATCAAGTATTTTGTAGACCATTAACTTCTGTTCCTTACATAATCTCACAAATAGCATACCATTATAATTGTAATATTTCATATGTTGAAATTAACTTTCAAAAACAAAAAGAAACTTACACTTTCTTGAATGTACTGCAATAAGAAAGGAGATGCCCTCAAATTATCAACAGGACACTCATAAAAACCTTGAATTTCCTTTTGGTGGAGGTCCATTGTGATGATGTGTGTCAAACCTGACTTGCACATCATTTTGGCTAGAAGTTTGGTCACAATGCATCCACGCTTCCTCATCTTACATTGTTTGCTGTAAGGCAGATACGGAATCACTCCAACAATAGACCTTGCCGAGGAAGTCTTACAAGCATACGCCATTATCAGTAACTCCATTATGTTGTTGTTTACATCTCTGAAACACAGAAAATATGTTACAATTAACAATCTATATTGCATTTAATAATATTAATTGATGTAAATTATAAAGTATGTAGTAAAGAAAAGTATGATTATTTAACCCATATATCCCCAAGCGGTCACCAGTGACCACTCTCCACTAACTACATTATAGACCTTATTTCCAATGTTTAGAGTTGCTTAACCTGTTAAAAAAGGGGATGATTTTTAATGGGTTGAGCACACCTGTGTAGTAAGTTCTGTGTACAAAGTAACACTATGTTGTGTCACTAACTGACACAACATGTTACTTTGTATCTGGGACAATAGTACAATGAGAGTATGTAACAATAAGAGCAACAATCTACAGAGTCGTACCATGATTGCTAAGAATTCAGAACACCTACACACCATTAGTATGGCAATACAAATATATTAAACAACTTTTGATTTCAAACGAATTCAATACTTGCCAACAATGTTATACATTGTTATTAGACAATTTGTAAATTATTATGAATTGATAATAAAGTAATAAGTTGTTTAAGATTATCATAAACCCGTATACAAAATTATTACTGGTGATTTGAAACCTTTTAGATATTACAATTGTACCTAATTATTAAAAAGTGTCAAGAATAAAATAATTTTACGTTCATTATAATATTATATGATACCCACTTAGTGCCAGTCTGGACTATGTAAATATTTTTTCCACGAATGGAATCAGCAATCTCAACAATAGTTTCCCTGTTTGTTTTGTGGTATACTGAGCATCCTCCCTTCCTCACACCAAGACGGCTGCAACAAAATATTGAAGTAATATTCCAACCAATTAAATAATAGTAAAGTCAGGTTTAATTCAATTACTGTATACAAACCAATAGATACAATATAAATTTTGAATGAGGTCAAACTACTTAACCTCTGCAGGTGTCAAACACTAGGTCAATAATAGAATGCTTGAAATGGTGCACAAACTGTAAGATGGATAGAATCGACTTACTTGGCAATTAATTCCGCTAGTTCAGGGTGTGAGTTGCCGCTTATGATCACTATGTCTGACGTGGAGTTACCCTCCATATTGCTCTTGCGAGATTTATTAGTGAAACCCACCAGCCTGCAAAATTCATTAGGTTTCCTTATTCAACAGATAATCAACCGCCACATGCGAATCTAACGAATTTAGGGAAGGGACAGCACGTTGGATCAACAAGAAAAACAATAAACCTGGTTTTGTTGAGTAACATAATAACCTGAAGGCAATTTTGTATGTAACACCGCAGAATAAAAGTTATAACTTCGAATAAAAATAACAATAATTTAAGAAATCACACGGCTGAAAACATGCGTTAGAAATAGGTACATTAAAATGTTTTACGAGTTGATTATAGTAAAATTACGGAATACGAAACGAGATCATCACTGACCGAGACCGACACCGAAAAAAATATCCACAGATTAAAAACTATGAATGATTGATTAGCTGTCAAAAAGAATGAACTAACTCTTTAAAGGCCAAGGGAGATTATTGGTAATTATTATTTTCCACCATGACCATTATTATAAAGCACAAAACACCGGTTTTTGAATGATACGTAATATTATTGTGAATAAATCCCGAATTACAGATTTATTTGTGATCCTTTGTGATTGAATCCTTTGAAAGCTGACAAAGAACCTGTCAATTTAAAAGTATAAACCACTGATATGATAAGAGTATGGATAAGAAACAACTAGGAAAAAATTGTGCCTACATAAACTTCACTTGGTCACCTGTAATGGCGGATAGAACTAGGGATGTAACTTTTAAAACTGTAGAAATATCGATATTTTATAATTGGTTTTAACTCGTCGAGTACCGGTTTTGTAGACACAATTATAGAACAATAGGTTGCGGTCACCGGTGACCGCTTGGTGTTTGACAGTTTAATTGACTTATCAATAAAATATCATTATTTTATGATTCATCTGGATTTAATTTTTATCTAGCTGCTAAACATTACGAACATATTAGCGAAATATATTTAGTAGTTGCTGCGTGCACTGTCACTCCAGTCCATCGTGCCTATACATTCACATCATAACTTTCACGATACTTATTTGTATCGAAATTCATGAAAAGGATTTTCCATCAACTGGTCAATATTTACATACTTAAGGTTAAGTAATTTTTGAGGGTTGAAAAATAAAACTGTATCAAAGTATTCATAAAATCAAGATTTATAATATACAATATCTTCGTATTTTTCGTAGTGTTTCCCTGTAATGTAATCTGCAAAACCATCTTTCGAGAAGACTCCAGAACTGGTTCCAAGTTCATTTTCATGCACATATCTGGCTAGAGGCTGCAACATAAATAGTATAATTTAACTTACTTGATCCAATTGAACATAGATTTTTCTATAGATTCTATAGATACTGTACCTACTTAATGTTTTTTGTATTTTGTCATTATGTCAAATTAATGCACTTTATCATTCAGAATTTAGTATAGTTCTTTGTTCTACTTTTGACGCATTTATTATGTACGATAAAATTATCGATACGGGAACAATCATGTACATCACTATTTTTTAATGAAAATTGTTTTAGATGTATTTCAACTAAAATTAATGAAAATAAGCACTTCATTAGTTAGAAAAGTATTGTATTTAGTCAATTTGCAGCAACCACACTTGAATAGTTTGAAAAACAGAGATATTTTAATGAAAAATAACAGTACTTACCGATGTAGTGTTACACCTGCCGGTTTAGTAATATTTTTAGTGCTACATCCAATAACACTGCACCCGGGCATAGTTCTTCTCACTAACCAATAATTTCTTTGTTTACCAAGCACAAAAACAACAGGAATTCTACAAATTTTCGTAACAAAATTCTACAAATTTTCGTGACAGCTGATGTACCACTGACATGCACTGATAACAGGGACTAAGATGGCCAATTCGGCACAACTAGGTTTTTCTGATGACGTCAAAAAATTATGGCCAGAATGACAATAATGTGTTGTCTCTTTCTGCAAAAGCAAAGAGACATAAGTAAAAAAGAAACAACAGTATGTTTATGAATTTACCGTCAAGATGGATCCTAAATTCTACCCGTAGACAATAGCCAGACATCTATGTTATATTTATAAATCTATGGTATAAACGTATTGCTATCTAATAAATACGTCTCAAGTAAGAGCGAGGTAGCTAAAGTAATTACTATTACGGTGGATTGAATAGAGAAAAGAGATTCATATTTTGTCCCTGTCACCGTGGCCATGATTTGTAATTTTGTACAGGCAAGCAAACTCACTGAAGAGTACGTAAGTGCAAAACAGGGAATGTCATTAAAATACAAAAGGTTTATTTTTGCCGGCAATAATTTCACTATCCCGCGTATTTTTATGTAGCATTAGACAAAAAGCGTAAAAGCAACTATAGTCATAAACACGTGTAGCAAAAAGTATAATAAGTACACCTAAAGTCATTACAGTATTATTACCACTATCTGGAAGTGATTGAAGGACACAGAACATATATACCCTAAGTTGAAGGAGGTCTATGTTCAGCTGTGGACGTCCTGTGGCTGATATGATGATGATAATGATGATGATATAAACTTAAATAACTTAAGTATAAATAAATATATACAACTTAAATACAAATAACTAAATACTAAATTATTAACACCTTAAAAACATAATAAAAATGTTATTTTATGTCGCTACCGTTATCGTTAATTATAACGATTATTTTGATTTTAAAATACCTGTCAAGTTTACATTACATTACTTTACTCTATGGTCAACTTTGACTTTGAGGTTTGAAGACTTTGAGGTTATATTTCGGTAGTACTCTAATTTACGTAGTATTTCTAAGTATTCTGTGTCTAATTTCAAAGAAATAGTTGAACGTTTGGTCTATCGTTAGAAAAATTAATGATAGTGACGATGAAAATAATAACAGCCTTGTGCATAAAACAAAGAATAAGAAACACAAGAAAACAGGAAGAATGCGGGATGTGATGAAAAACAGCCGGGAGATAATTGTAGGTGTAAAAGATTAAAAAATGTTTTGATAATAGAGCAACGTAAACTTACATAAAAATTTCAGATCAGCATAGTTGATCAAAATTTATACTAATGTGGCTTGATGCACGTGTGTTCACTAAAAAGAAGGCGAAGTAGAAATATGAAATGGATGCTAATTTCCATCAAACCAAATGAGGGTGATAGAAAATGATGACATAAAGGAAGTACCTTTTTGCTATAGGTATATATAATCAACTTTTTGATTTAGATGTAGATGGTGATATTGCAATCTAGGCTTTGAAAATATACATTATAATAGAAAAGATAGAAGATATTTCTAGTCAGGAAAGTCTATAATATTTTAACCTTTTGAGCGCCAATGTCACATATACGCGACAAGCGAAAACTGTCCCTGGACGTCAACGACACAAATACATGACAGAAAAAGCGGAACCAGAAGAACGAATTATTGGAATCCCTATTGTTGATACAATAGGGATTCCAATAATTCCTATTTCTTTCGTAGAAATTTGCGTGGAATTTGTGGCTTGGTGTTGAAGGCAGGTTCATGTGTTTTTGCTCTGGCGTTCAAAAGGTTAAAGAAAAGGTGTGATTTTCATAGAAAAAATTTTAATTAACTTCAAAAATGTTACAAAAAATAATATTGTCATATTATTTATTACAATTAACCTATAAATCACCAAGCGGTCACCGGTGACCGCTTTCCACTAATATTACATTACATTATAGACCTTATTTGTAATGTTTAGAGACTACTTTTGTATGACCAAATTTAGGGGGTGGATTTCAACGGGTTAAATATCTGATAGAACATAAAAATGGCTACATTGCTCTTGAGGTTGAATTAAAAGAAAAGAGAATAATCAGTTTATAATTAATATTATTGAATCAAATACAATGGAAGAAAAAAACATGTTATGCCGACACCAAAGAAAATCGGACAAGCGCAGCTAGTTGATGTTGGGACAACTATGTTGTCTCAAAAATTATGTTTTATTAATTGAATTAAATGGTTCAAACAAATGGCAGTGTCATTAAAATTATGGCAATCTTTAGGTAATACTGCTTTTAGTTGTTGCAGGTGGTTGTACTTCGTTACTGTAATTGGAATTTTGTTAAGATGTAGTGGAGGATAGATTGCTTCCGAAGCTAGTAACCTAGGTCTGTTCGGTAAAGGAATCCACTGTTTGTCAAAACCCAGTTTAACTTCGATTGTCATAGTATTGTACTTTATTACTCTGATATCTACAACCTGTGGATCGCCAGCTTTGTGGCCTGGTCGAATACTTTTATAAAGTACTAGCGGCCCGTCCCGGCTTCGCACGGGGGGACTTAAGATTTTTTACATAGTTTTACGTTTTATTTATATTTATTCTCAGTTTTTTTTTTATTTAGGAAGTATTTACCTTTTGAAAACATTTTTCCGGACTTCATTTACTTATTTCATTTATTTAATTAATTATTTTCTTCTTAAATAGGAACCTACCTATTTTGTCGTTGTTTGTTTTGGTTGAGGTAAAAGTTTGTTTTTAAATTGTTATTTTACATTTATTGAAAAATATTTACATCTTTTTTTTTTGTTTTTCTTTATTGTTTTAAGGTTTTTTTTTTGTTTTAAGGTTTTTTTTGTTAAAGTTTTTTGTTTTTTTTAAGGTTTTTTTTGTTGTTTTAAGGTTTTTTTTGTTAAAGATTTTTGTTTTTTTTTTTGTTAAAGTTCTTTGTTTTATGTGTTTGATCAAATTATCGTAATATTTACATTTTACTTTAAGGCTTCACTGTAAACTATGTTTGCAGTGGTATTTGTAGGTGCTAACAAAACATATTGATTTTTAGGAGATCCTACTCGAGAAAGGGCTACATATAACTGCCCATGAGAAAAGCACTCTTTTCTTAGGTCGACGCCAACAATCGAAAAAGTTTGCCCCTGTGATTTATTTATCGTAAGGGCAAACGATGTCTTCACAGGAAACTGTAACCTTTTAAAGGATATGTGTAAATCCGTCGGAATCATCGGGATTCGCGGTATGTGAGCGAGCTGTCCGGCCGCGGGCCCAGTGATGATTGTTGCTACAATCACATTGTCTCGTAATTCCCTTATCAAAAGTCTTGTGCCATTGCACATATTGGGAGGGCTTAAATTTCTCAAAAGCATGATAGGAGTACCTCCTTTTAATTTTAGTTCGTGGGGTGGCAAGCCGGCAGGGTTGAGGGAATTTAAAAATTCTTGTGGGTAGTGTACTGCATCTTCGATGTTGCACACAGTGTCAATAGATTTGTAACATTTGAAATCACCTGGTACTTTTTCCATAATCATTCTGTTTATATCATTTACGGAATCGTTTCTTGGCGACACTATCGCCCTCGAACAGAGCCAATTGAAATTTCGTTCTGTGAGATTTTCAATGTCGGGATAGATTGTGTCTATAAGAACATCTAGACTGTTAACAGTTTGAGCCAATTCATTGTCCAACGATACTTGGGAGTTATTTGCAACTGGCGATGGTAGTTTTCCATCTCCAAGTTGAAGTATTTTTTGTGAGAAATTTCCATTGTTGTCGTTACTTAAATGTGCTCTCATATTTGTGCGCAAATTTAGAGTTTTAATTGATTGCCACAAAGGTGATGATTTGAGGCACGCTTTAATAACGTCGGCGCGTGTACCTTTAGTTATAACCGGTAGTGTTTGGCGAAAGTCTCCAGCCAACACAAAGGTTACGCCTCCCATCACATTGCCTGAGTTCCTGAGGTCTTTTAATGTGCGGTTCACAGCTTCCACGTGAGCTCTATGGCTCATGGTACACTCATCCCAAATAATCAGTGAAGTGTCCTGTAAGAGCTTCCCAAGTGGACCATTTTTGCGGATTGAGCATACCGATTGTTGTTCTAATGACACAGACAACGGTAATTTAAAGGTCGAGTGAGCAGTCTTCCCACCATTTAATAGAGTTGCAGCAATGCCAGAAGACGCGACCGCCAGTGCTTTTCTTCCAGATTGTCGTACTTTGGCTAAAATTAAATTGGCAAGAAATGTTTTACCTGTTCCGCCAGGCGCGTCCAAAAAAAATAGTCTACCTTTGTTGTTGATCACACTTTCAATTATAGCATCGAACGCAATTTTTTGATCTGCCACCAACTTGGGTACATTTGAGTTGACATATACTGATAACTCGTTAACATCGTATGTAGAGCTCGGTATGGCATTAACTACATTTTGTAGGGGGCGATTCGGAGAGGGTAACCCAAAGTCTACCAAATTTTTATCGTTCAGTTCTAAAAGTTTATTTTCGATCTGTATCAAACCTTCATTATAAACATTAAAATCTTGTTGACATCTTTCTTGGGCTATGTGTCTGATATCTTGACACAAATCGTTTTTAAAAGTGTTCCATAATTTGAGAGGTTCCGAGGGGAAACAAAATAATAGAATCACCACAAACAATTCTCTCAGCTTAAGCGGACATTGGGATATTGAAGCTTCTCTCAAAGTTATTTCCCATTGGTTATCATTTTCCAGCAAACCTCTATCTCGGCAAGCGGCTTGGTAAGTTTCTTTAACAATTCCCTCAACTGTTTTTAAATACTGGAACGATGTTGGGCCACGTACATGATGAAGTAGTATCCTGAGATAAAAACATTCTGACTGTGAAGGATGAATGCTGTACACTCTTCCCAATGCTGCATCTTTTTTTATGCCGGGGTGTCCAACTACGTCTTGGCCACGCTTCCTTCTAGAAAATTTATTGTTTGCCCATGTATAGTAATGAGGGACTTCGTGATAGAGTAGTGTTCTAGCAAACCCGTCACTGCTGCACAGGTCAAAAAAGGCAGTGAGTGTCGTTTTAGGTGGATTTTCAACAATATTTTGTATATTTTCCGCTGAGAAGTATACTCGTTGTCCGTTCTCTAAGTGTACCGCTAAGTGTACTACGGTAGGGTGTCTGTCATGTATAGGAAACTCTAACAATCTCCACACTGCTTCAGATGTACTGATGTATCGGCCGTTTAAATATTTTTCAACTTCGTCATGAGCATTTCTGACACTGAAAGTGGCTTGATCCGATCCTTTATTAATGTACTTACATATGTACTAAATTGCTTGTACGGAATGACAATATTCAACGTTTATGTGAGCGTTGAAAGATCGGCACAATATTGGGCAATATGGAACGATCCATCTGTTGTCAATGTTGACTGTTCTTCCTCGCACATTCAAGGTAGCGACCTGCCCTCCGTTGTCGATGTCGCGTCGTCGATAAACGGGATCTCCGTCCTCACCGGTCTCGGTTTGAGTTACAAAACGTCGTGGGTATTTTTTTGAACAAATGCCATTTTTCATGCACGGCGAAGTCAAATTTTCTTCCCCACATGGCCCATGTACCATATTTTTTGTGACTATTTCGAACAACTGGATCTTCGTCTTTATTAGGTAGCTCGGCAACTATTATGCCATCAATTTCATCGGGCTGTATTTTTGTGTCCAGCCAAAATAACATATGACAATGCGGCAATCCTCTTTTTTGCCACTCTACAGTTACCATAAAACATTTAACCGTCCCAAAAATCGCGTCTTTTGTGATTATGTTTATAATTTTTTTCATTTTTAAGTGAAACACTCGAGCAATGATGTCATGCCGATCGAAAGATCGCTGACCGGGAAAAAGTTCTTGCTTTATTTCTTCCCATTCCGGATTACACGTAAAAGCACATATGTCATTGCATCTTGCGTCTTTTCGTGGAGATACCTCGGTGACCCGGTAAATGACGACGGCAAAATGACATGCTGACCTAAATTGGCGGCATTTACACCTGCGTCTTGGTTTAAAGCATCCCTCAAATGAATATAGTTATCCGCTCTTAGCTTTTGTTGGTTTCGGGAAATAAAATTTAACCTCTCTGAAATCATCTTCGCCATCATATCAACACAATACTGATTAAACAAATCTTTGTAATAATGCAGTGTGTTAAAACAGTTCGTCTTAATCATTAAACGGTAGGCATAATATTGCATACATGACACTGTCTTATTTCGTAATGCATTCTGCTGAGGAATATTCACATAATATCCGTCGTCTCCTGTTACATATATAAGTGGATATTGTAACGGATCGTAAGCGCGGTGCAATTCCGACACTCGTTTTAGTTGTCCGTCTCTACCATGCAGCACAATATCCCTGGGTCCTTTGTCTTCGTCGACCAACAGAACGGCCACTTCATTTATGGAAGGAGCGTTATATCTGCCTTGGTGTTCTGTCTGAGGTGTGCGATCAGAGTGAATGATTAGTTTTAAACTTTCCGGGTTGTTAAGTTCGATACTATGCTTGAAACTTCGTACGTATATATTGTGGCTATTTAATACGGTCTGCAATTCGTTAATCAAATCAATTTTTAGCGTAGGGGCCATGTTTGCTCGCAAAGATAGTTGGTCAGCTTCTGAAATAAAATATATTTGCAGAAATTGAGGGTTTTGTCCTGCTGGTGGTAAGAGGCTACCTATAAGATGGTAGACTTGTCCTTCTACCTTAAAGGTGGGCATAAAATTTCCCTCTCTAATTTCTTTTGCCCCAAACGAAGTCATCTGAAAAAGACTATTGTATCTACGCGCATTGTTAAAAAAATGCGCAGAAAGTGTGTGATTATTAGTCAATAGGCTTTTTATTGGTTCTGGTGGCTCTGTTATATTAGGAAGAATAACTTTTCCAGACGCGCAACACATACCGTTCGCTTCATCATTCCATTTTTTTGCACAACATCGCGGGCAAACCTTATTCATTGCTCCGATTTGGATGCTGTTTTGATGAGCATAATCAATTTGTGGATCGTAACTGAATGCCGATCTATTGCTATGAGCTAAAACTCTATTACGCGTCCTAATTGTTAAAGAATGTTGTCTTTCTCTCTGTGCAATAAGTCGCTGCGAGCGTTCGGCGCTAGATTCCCTGGCACGTGTTTGCGAGTTCCTAACTCTATTTTCTGCAAGACGCTGCGAGCGTTCAGCACTCGATTGTCGTTCGTGTAGTTGTGATGATCGGGTATTTTGTGCAATTAGTCGCTGCGAGCGTTCGGCGCTAGATTCCCTGGCACGCGTTTGCGAGTTCCTAACCCTATTTTCTGCAAGGCGTTGCGAACGTTCAGCACTCGATTGTCGTTCGTGTAGTTGTGATGATCGGGTATTTTGTGCAATTAGTCGCTGCGAGCGTTCGGCGCTAGATTCCCTGGCACGCGTTTGCGAGTTCCTAACCCTATTTTCTGCAAGGCGTTGCGAACGTTCAGCACTCGATTGTCGTTCGTGTAGTTGTGATGATCGGGTATTTTGTGCAATTAGTCGCTGCGAGCGTTCGGCGCTAGATTCCCTGGCACGCGTTTGCGAGTTCCTAACCCTATTTTCTGCAAGGCGTTGCGAACGTTCAGCACTCGATTGTCGTTCGTGTAGTTGTGATGATCGGGTATTTTGTGCAATTAGTCGCTGCGAGCGTTCGGCGCTAGATTCCCTGGCACGCGTTTGCGAGTTCCTAACCCTATTTTCTGCAAGGCGTTGCGAACGTTCAGCACTCGATTGTCGTTCGTGTAGTTGTGATGATCGGGTATTTTGTGCTGAAAGACGAAGCGCATGTTCGGCGCTTGATTCCCTTCCACGTGATTGTGACATTCTGTCACTATTTTGAGCAAGGCGGTGCAAGCGTTCGGCGCTAGATTCGCTTGCACGTGATTGCGACGCATACGCTCTCTGATTTGCGAGACGATCAAAATTTTCAGAAATTGATTCTTCATCACGTCGTATTTTTGCTAATCTCGCTTGAGAGCAATTTTTAGATAGTTGAGACCTTCTTTTTCTTGGCATATTGATGAATTTTTTTTATTAGATAAAAATAAGAATAGAAATTAGGATAGAGAATAAGAATAGAATTTAGGATAAATACTTACTATGGAAGATAAGGGTATAAGTAAGAATATAATTTAGGATATTATAGCAGTAAAGCCTGAATGAACAATTATTAATTAGTTCTGAAAAGAACTTTTTTACTCGAACAAAAAATGCAAAAGAACTTTTTTACTCGAACAAAAAATGCAAGTTAAATAGTCTACAAAATGTTTAAGATCGGTTACGTGACACGTCTGCTGCGTAGGGAGCCGACCGCGCGAATGAGCCGCGCGGCTACCTATCTCACTGATCTGACCTCCCCTTCCCCGCACCGCTGCGTTGCCCGGCTGGCTAGTCACTTCACGCCGCGCGCCGCCCCGGGCCTTTTTTATGTATTTTTGAAATAGCAGGTAAGTATAATAGGTATCTTTTGGATGAATTAATAGTCATAAGGTAACCGATTGAACAATTCAAAAGTTATCTAGAGCAAACTTTTATAAGGATTGAACCATTCATTAAAACGATTGTTATGGGTAAACTATAAAAGGTAGACATATGCTCTCGCGGACTTTTTTAAAAATAATGTTAAGATAAACAATTCATCTATAGAACATTTTTGTATAACTTTAACTATATGCTCAGCGCACGCCACGGAAGGCCTCAGAAACGATACTTTTCCCCCGTTTTTAAAACATTTTTGGTTACTGCTCCACAACTATAGGACCTAGCGTGATATTATATAGCCTATGTTACTTCTGAATAATGCAGCTTTCGAATGGTGAAAAAATTATTGCAATCGGTTCAGTAGTTTTTGAGTTTATTCATTACAAACATACAAAAATACAAAAATACAAATCTTTCCTCTTTATAATATTAGTATAGATATTTTCAGGTCGGGCATAATCTTTAACAAATTCATGATCTACATTAAGTAATTGCTTCATAAGGGTTCGAGCTTCATGTCTCTTTAGTAATTGTAACATAATCACTGGGCAAATGTATTTCCCGGTTTTTGAGTTTTCACTCAATAGTGCTGTGACTCATTCTGAGTGTGACCCGGTTCTAAAAATTTTTGCGTGATGATTACGTTGTTTCTTGCTCAAAAGGAGCAGTGCATTTGGCAGCACACAATTACGATTCTGGTATGTGCACCCGTCAGAGTAAATAACAATTGGTAACTTATGTGGAATACAATGTCTTTCTAAATAATCAATTAAAAACGTAGTAAAAGTGCTAGACGTTAAATTAGCAGAAGTTTCGTCGAACCAATAACACCTACAGTGCTTGGTTATTAAATTAAAAACAGTGAAATTATGGCACGTTAACTTTGTCTTGAAATACAAAGCACTAGCAGTTAGGTAAGGACAAACCTTCACAGCCTCTAAATCCATAGTCAAAAGTATAAATTCTCCAGCAGTTGCTTTTTTCTTGTCCTCTTCTTTTTCTTGTTTAGCCCTGTTTTTCTTAATTATATGTATTTGGTAATCTGATTCATTTAAATGCTCAATAATGCATTTCTAATGCTCAAAAAATATAAAGTTTAACAAATTAGAGATCAGTCAGAATCGCTGTCGTTGGCTGCATTAGAGTCCGTTGAAATCAAATTATTAAAAAATAAATGATACTCCTTAGGAGTTACCAGCGTCTTACAAAGATCCCAGGTCTTTGTGCTTGTTTTGGTCAATAGGAATAGGTGACTGATAAGCTAAAGAAATATTATCTATATCAATATTTAACACTCTTCGATTTCGTGTAACTTTTTGTATAAAGAAACCTAATTCTATACACAATCTATCCACTTGTAAGCATCATCTTGGTAACTTGTTTTAGAGAACAGCCTAAATGGATCTTCCGATTTAACTACTACTTCCGTTACCTTATTCCAGGGCATTTTGGATCCATCGCTGGTAGTTGTCCAGTTATTTATAAGTTTTAGTTGTGATTTAAAGTCTTTAATCAAATCCTGCGACACTTCAGTAACTTTGTATGGCTTTTCATCGGATTTGGCAAATCTAAAAGCTGTATACCATTGATCAGGCGTATAAAGCATCTTATCTTTAGTCTGTCTTTCAATTAAAGCGTGCATGCTGTCGCCTTCGTTTTGAGTGTGACTGGGGTTACCATACCTCTGGATTTGTCCTGAGATTTCAGAATTTTTCGACTCTTCTCAGGATTCCGGCCGGATTTAGCGAATCTAGTGATAGCTCAGGATTTTTAATAAAAAACAGGTTACATTTTAAAGATCTCTCTTATTAAACTACTAAAAATAATCTTCTTTTGGTAACAATTGCTGTTAAAATCAATACTTATGTCGCTCATTTGGAGCGACAGTGACATAAGTGCAAAATTGTAAATTTTACACTACGCCAGTTTTAAGATTTTTTAAAAACACTTCTGAAGATTATTTGCTTTTCTTACAGCTAATGACTATTGCTATATTATAGTAATGTAGTTTGAATTCTAGGCTTCAAAATAGACACAGGTATTTTTTATTACTGAAACCATAACAAGGTGTTTTTTTTTGTTTTTTTGTTTTATGACTTACAGTTGCGTCGTTGTTACCCTTAAAATAGAAAGTTCGTGCAGTTATGACTTTGTTGTCTTAGAAAATGAAACCAATTTCATTCAATCAACACAGTTTGTTTTATTTCAATAATAATAATTAACAGTGACAGCCAGTCGTGACGTAGTTATGGCCTACGGCATGAATTATCATTATCTTAATTACAGTTTAATAATATAACACTATTAGTATTTTCAATGACATATTACAGCCCAAAGCCTTGTAAGAAGATAAAAGCTCCGCGATAATACATTTATAGTCACTTGATCGGTGGTTTCCTAGAAAATTGGACTGTTAGTGGAAGTGGAAGTTACTTTCATGAAAGATTCCCAAGCTGATTTTTCTAAATGACTAAGCTTTTCTTTAAATAAATCATCTTTCATCAATTGCCTGATTTGGGGGCCAACAAATATGCCCTCTTTAATTTTTGCTTCACTCAGCTTAGGAAATTTTTCTTTTAAATATAAAAAGCCGTCACCGCTCTTGTCCATAGCTTTTACGAAGTTCTTCATAAGCCCAAGTTTTATGTGTAAAGGTGGTAAAAATACATTCTCAGGCTGCACCAATGGAGGGTTTTTGATATTTTTTTGTCCTGGAGTAAGAGATTGTCTTTTGGGCCAGTCTTGCTTAACATAATGATTTTTTCGGTCTCTACTATCCCACTCACAAATAAAACAACAGTATTTTGTTATACCCAAGTTGTAATCCTAAAGGGCAATCACCTTCAAATCTCCACAAACTTTCCAGTTGTGTTCGTTATACTGAATTTTTTCCAAGATAAATTTAATCGTTTCATAAGACTCTTTCATGTTAGAAGCCTCACCTAATGGGATAGAGGGAAGTTTATCGCCGATATGTAAAAGAACAGCCTTTAGACTTACTTTTGAGCCATCAATAAATAAACGCCACTCTTCTGCCTTATATTCTATACCCAAGACAGTCATTACACCATAGACATTATTACAAAATACAAGCTGATCATCTTGTGAAAAAAAAAACCTTTTAGTTCTTCATCTCGATTGCGAAAGTAACATACTTTTGTTTTAGGTTGTAATAAATTCCATCCCTTTAATCGAGAGCCCAAAAGTTCTGCCTGTTGTTTGGACAAATTTAAGTCACGTACCAAGTCATTGAGCTCTCCTTGTGACAGAAGATGTGGCTCATTAGATGTGGATGAGGAAACTTCTTGATAGTCAGGATCCAATGTCTCTTTTTCGACTTCTGGCGGCGTAAGGAACAGATCGCTAGTTTGAGGTGGTTCTGGTACCGGTAAATCTTCACTATGAGAGATCGGTCTTGTAGCTGATGGCACGTCAGGATACTTGATTTTACTTTTTGTTTTAATTGTAATACCTTTTGTACCAGTAAGACAAAAATAACAATCAGATGAATGGTTCGTCGATTCCTTCCAAATCATAGGGTTTGCAAAATGCATAGATCGAGATCTTTTCGCCCAACCAGTGAGAAGACCTACACATGTAACACAACAGATGTGTGGAACCCACGGTTTGTCTTGTTCTCCAATGGCAAAACCAAAATATTGTTCATATAACTTTTTTACTAATGGTGTCAAATTCCTTCGTTGAGTTTTGAAAGTAATGTCACCACAAATGTAACAGAACTTGTCAGGATCATTTTTACACTTTCTTGACATTATTTAAGAATCACTTCACTCTAAAAACAGAACAAACAACTGCGCTCTTCAAATAAACAAATTCTCTAAACGCGAAAGTAAAACAAAAACGGTTAATTTTTAAATTTGTGGGTAGTAGCTGTAACACGAAAACTAGATGTCATGGAATCAAAATAAATATGGTTATAATGTGAGGGTAGATAGGTAATTTAAAATTAGGCAGCACCTTTCTTGTTACAAAATTTTGTTGACCAGTGTAATTATTCAGCACTAAATTTAATAAAAATATCGATACAAAATTATCTAGTCTTTTATCTCTCTTATTAATTAAGAATGGCACAGTCAAATCACAGATGCTTACTAAAATATTGTTAAAATCAATAACCATTCAAGACGGACTGCAGGCTGCAGATTGAAGCCGCACACTGCACGTGATACGAGTAAAACGACACTGCCGCCTACAGCTGCAGTCTGCGATTCGTCTTGGGCTCGACACTTATAAATCAGACTTAATGCTTATACCTAAGTAAACAATGAACTGTTAGAACAATTTTAATTCAGTCTTATATTCATTTTTAAGTATGTACTCAAGAGACTTACATAACATAGTATTAAAAAAATATAAAAAAAACTTAATGACAACAAAAAAAACTTAAAACAAGCTTTCATAAAACCCTGAATAGCATCTAGGAACAATGTTTTTTTCTAATAAAGTGCGCAAATCTTGCTTTTTTTGATCAGAGATCGTAAGTTTTGAACTATAAGCTGCCCTCAAACGTAATTCAGTAATATTTAAATTATTATCTGATCGAGTTTTACGCGTATTAATAGTTGTTTTTGATTTAACAGTTACCCATTCGCCGTCGTAAGAATATTTTAGATCGTAAGTCTCACTATTTTTAACAAATCGTATAGCTTTTATTTCAGATACTTTGATTAGGTTACCTTGCAGATCTTTGTTAACATTTAATGTAATATCCTCAAATAGCTTTTTTAACCGTCTGCAGCTGACGTGTAGTCCCACAGACACCGCGAAATACAAAATCACGTGTTATACCGTCATTTTTCAAATACGAGCATCACTGCTGCGAGTACCTTACTGTATAGTGCTCGCTATACTTTAATTCTACAAAAATATTTGCTGTTGAAATGGTGTCTGGTATAATATACACCTCAGTTGAATTGTAACAATTTAACCACGTCAGTTGCAGAGGGTTAAATCATAAAAATCGTCATAGTTCAGCTCGTTGACAACAAAAGCATTTCCAGTTTTCTTGGCGTTTCGTATAAGTTGAACGTACTGGTAGGGAATGTAGACAGGACCAGACTTTTTTGCTCTTTTGATCGACTTTTCAATGAGCGAATGAGCATTATCGACCTCATTTTGAGTGTGGCCACGTAAAAAAAATTTATGGGTTATTGATTTTATTGGAAGAGTTTCAACGGCATAGTAATACATGCCAATCAAGAATCTGGAAAAGTAAAATATAACTTATATAATAGACGTAACTACAGAAATAATGTTATTTAAAATCTTAATGAAAAAATAATGACAATAAATGTACCTATTTTTCTGCTGACCACAGCAGTTGTCAGAGTAAAATATGATATCGCTGCCGGGACGACGCTCAGCAGTCTCTTTCAGAAATTTCAATACACAAGAACCAATTTCTACAGCTCCTCTATTGCCAAGACCCTCGTGCCAGAAATAGCAATTGGTAACGTTATCTTTTAAATCTGTAACCTGTAAAAAAAATTAAACATTAGAATTTTCTTTTAAGTAACTTAAAAATCTGCAGCTTTTTTTTACAACTTTGATTTGTAAAAAAAAGCTGAACTATTACCAATAGGTACAGGCATAACTGCCTGTAAATCGTAAATTGCAACTAGAGTTTCGCCATTTTCTTTTGATAACTCTATAGCTTTAGCTTTCTCTTTCCTACTTAAATCTTTTTGCCTTAGATGCTCTTCGTAAGCTTCTTTTAATTTGAGCTGGTTTTCTCCGGTAGCATTTTTATAAGACTCGCAGAGATCACATAAATCTTTCTTTGGTACAAAAAATGATAAATTAAATTCGATGTTAAAAATTCGGTAATACATATCAAAACTTGCTGATGGCATCGTTCCTCTACGAGATAAGTAATTTCGATGCAATTCTTTAACAGTAAGACCGCCATCAATGAATTCACGAGTGGTGTTAGCTCGAGTATAGTGGCTCTCAATTCTAGGGACGGAGTTAATGTGATCGCGAACCGATTGTATGATTTCCGGATTGACTTGGTTATGATGAGCATGTTTGCCACGTTTGTCCTCAGGGGTCACACCTGTACTACTACTATTTCTACTTTCAATAACCGTTCGCAATGTTCTTTCAGATATACCCAAAGTATTTATAAAAAAAAAATTGCATGTCCGCACACCTGCACCGTTCACCATGAAATTAAAAACACAATTTTGGTTTCTATTTTTGGCAGCTCCTTCTTTTACTCGACGATAAGGAACTTTCAATGTTGTTAAGCAGGAGTTTAAAAAGTCACGCTGTCTTTGTAGCGTCCCCAAGCCCCAATAACATTTAAATATCTCCTGTCTTTGTTCTTCCGTTATTTTATCACGACATCTGAACCTACATTTTTCTGTGCAAGGTGGTTTAATAGATTTTTCTGCAACAGTTTTGCCAGTTCTAGATACATATTGTTTTCCAGAGTTTCGTTGACGTTTTCGTACATTTTTTATCCATGCGGATTCATTACGAACTCTCTTTTTGCCTTTCTTGGCAACTGTAGTCTCTGTCGATAGTGCTAAACCTTGGCTGGTCTCTAAATTGGAATTACTGACAGAACCTTGAGGAGGCGATGTTGATGACGAGCCAGAAATAGTGTCAGATGAACTAGACGATGAAGTAGAGGATGAAGAGCTCGACGATGAGCTAGATGACGTTGAGTTATTACGCTTACGTTGCATGGATTTATGTGGTTTATATTCGTCACCACTATCATCAGCAGAAAAGTCTTTTCCTTCGTCTTCACTGTCGTTTACGTCGTCGTTTGCGAGAAGGATTGGTGGTGGATCCGTGTTAATTACAGAAGAAGTAATATTTTCTGTCACTGTCGATGCTAAAATAAATAGACAATAATTGAAATTCAATAATAAATCCGAATAAAGCTACAAAACCATAATATCAACCATCTAAAAAACAAAAATGTTCAAGTATTTACCATTTGCACTAGTAGAAATAACTGTTTTTGAAGCAAGAGATTGGTCCTCAATACTGTCATCATTTGAATAGTCTTGCTCACAAAGTTTAACTAACATTCGTGCTCGGCTTCCCATTGTAATAGCTTAAAATTTTGAAAAATAATAATATTTTAGTGGGTTATATTCGATATCAAATTATTACAATTAAGTCATAATTGTAATTGTTTATACAGCATTTTAGAACAATATTGGCGTAATTACATTTAGATTTAAAAAAATACCTAATGTTTGGTGAAACAACGGCGCAATGGTAAAATGCGTCATTTTATCCTCGAAACTCTGTTCACTTTAAATAAAAAATGTCACAAAATACAATTGCGTCGTTGTTGCACCGATATTTAATAGCAAAATTGTCATATTTACCTTTGCGGCGATGTAGCCCCCTGACACGTACACACTCGGCGGGGCGCCCCGCGTAACTGACTGTTCGGCCGTTGTCGTCACATATTCGCGCGCCAAAATGAAATATTTCAACAATGACTTTTGGCCCTCTAGCCGGCGTTTTTTGAACTAACAAATACGACGTTTTCACTCATAACGTAGATGAATATGGAGATTATTTTGGTGTCATTAGGTTATGACACTGTCGCTCCAAATGAGCGATGTATTAATTTAAAACAAACTTAAAATAATCTTCTTTTGGTAACAATTGCAGTTAAAATCAATACTTATTTATCGAAGTAAAACGAACTAAAAACAATCTTCTTTTGGTAACAATTGCAGTTGCAGTTAAAATCAATCCTTTTTATCAAAGTAAAACAAACTAAAAATAATCATCTGTAAAAATAATGTTACCAACATTTGCAGGTAAAATCAATACTTATTTATAGGTATTAGTTTTGTCGTATTTAATATTTGAAGAAACTTTTTTAAGTAAATTATTTTCTTTGATTATTGATTTATAAAATGCCTCTCAAGTTAAACTCTTCAAGTTATATTGAACTAAAAGTAGAGCTCGAACTGAAGACACGTTTAGTCGGTTTCTTTCTTTCGACCATTGAGCTCCCATGATAGAAAAAACTCTTTCTACGTTTGCATTTTGAGCTGTTATTGCAAATATATATTGACAAATACGCAGTATCTCTGGCAATCGTGAAATACCTATTGTCTTGAAAATGTTTGCCCACAACGCATGAAGCATTACGTCAAAAAATTTTTCTTCCTGTTTTGTCGAAAACTATTCAGAGATGCAATTTCATCGAATAACTTCACATCATCTATGTGTATTCCTTTTCCATTTAGATAATGAATTGATAAAGCAATCTGATCAAAGTCGATCATTTGGCCCTTTTTCAGCATCAACCAATTCAAGATTTTGAAATCATGTAAAGGCGTCATCCACTTGATCAGATATTCTACGCAAGTCTTATACATATTTTTAAGGTCGTGCTTGAAAACTTCTTGGTTTTCCGCAGTGCAACGCTCACACTTTAAGTGGCATGAAGTTTGCGTTCGCTCGTGCAACTAAAATTTCATGTGTGGATTCCAGGATTCTTTTAATATCTAAAACAGAATTGTTTTCTTTTTCGATGTCTTCAATTTTCATCTGAAATATTGACATTAATGAGTGAACAAGAAATAAATAAACTTCGCTGAATTCATTTTCAAAAAAGTTCTTCAAAGTAATTGGTACACCAGGAGTAGATAAAAAGTACCGCTTCAACGGTTCATACATGCAGTGTTGGAATCGGCAAATATAGCCTTAACCAGTTGGCTGGTGCAATCCATAGATTTAAATGACTGGTGATGTTTCACTGTGTGGAAAGCTAATGCCGGCCATACACGCTACGGTCTACCGGAAAGGTCCACCTGTGCAGGTATGCCTGCGCAGGTCAACCGAACATTGGTAGCGTGTATGGGTACGTTCCGGTGTATCGGAGCGGTCTTCAGTTCTTTTTGCGATGGCATCGAATGTGGACGAAGACACGCTGGCATTGCTAGGTCTTGCTTTAATTTTGAAGATGAATAATACGAAAAAGAAGCGAAAAAAGTGGTGTAAGCATTGGTTATTGAAAAGAAAAACATATAGTCATGTTAATTTATTAAGTGAATTGAAATTTGAACCAGAAGATTTTAAAAACTATCTTCGAATGGACGAGAAAACATACCTTAAATTACTTGAAATGGTTACTCCTATGATAAAAAAAGAAGACACAGTTATGAGAAATAGTATTTCTGCGCACGAAAGATTATCAGTCACATTGAGATTTCTCGCAACTGGCAGAAGCTATGAGGATCTAAAATTTTCAGCAATTATTTCGCCTCAGGCACTTGGAAAAATTATTCCTGAAACATGTGAGGCTTTATATAAAGTACTCAGAAGAGATTATTTTAAGGTAAGTCATTAAAACACTGTTATATTAGAGATAATATTTATTGAAAAAAATATGTACGATTTTAATCATTAAAGTAAAAAACTGTCACGTACATACAAGTTATTCATTATGAACATTGAAATTAGTAATGAATGTCGCTGCCGAATCTAAAACTACCTCTGTTTCATTGGGCTGATTTTCTGGAACTGTAGTTGTTCGTATTTGTGGCGAGTAGGGATTGCCTTGGGAACTGTTGAGATGGTTAGTTTGAAATGATTGAGAAAGATACTCTGAATTTTGACTGGTGGGAAATAGAAAACAGGGTGGGCTAGGACTTCCGGAAGAAACAAAACTTACAGGGGTATATGCCCTATTGGAATTAGGAGAGGCCTGATATGCATGTTGTCGATATTGCTGAGCAGGAACATAGCTTCGTTGATTTTGTTTCAAAATATCTCTCATGTTAATATAGGCGTGCTCGGGAGTGAGGTTTCCTATTTCTGCTTCAAAAAGTAAATCATTAATAAGTTTTTCTGCGACTATTAATTGTTTCGCATCTAAAGCTTTCAATTTCATCGCCACGTTTTTTCCAATAATATCGCACCTATCTTCTGTTACAATTGGGCGAGGGCGCTTAAAGTGATCTCGTACCGATTCCAACACTTCATTTGCTAAGCTTTCATCTTTTCTTTTTGTTTTCCAAGGTTTTGGTGGGCGAGATGAATTATTATTTGACGATGTTGATCGAACCTCGTTGTCGGTAGATGCGCTGTTGGATGAATATTCTTCAGCGGCATTTAAAGAGTCTTCAGTGTTGTCTTTCTAAAAACAAAAAAAATTGATACATTTTTGTGTGCATACGCTATAGATATTTCACATCAATAATAACTACTTTTGCAAGTATTTATGATAAAAACCTATTATTTTTATATTACAGTTTCCTAAATCTGAAGAAGAGTGGAAAGAAATAGCAAAGATGTATGAAGAACGATGGAACTTTCCTCATTGTCTTGGTGCAATAGATGGAAAGCACATATCGATTGTTCCACCGGCTAATAGTGGATCGTATTTTTATAATTATAAAGGGCAACATAGTGTGGTTCTTATGGCAATTGTTAATGCAAAATACCAATTTATTTATATAGACGTTGGCATGAATGGCAGAATATCCGATGGAGGGGTTCTACAAAACACTAAATTTTTTGAAAAATTAGAAAATAGTGATTTACATATTCCAAGCAGTGAATTGTTAACAGGAAGTAACCGAAATTTACCATATGTATTTGTGGCAGATGACGCGTTCCCATTACGCCCCGATATGATAAAACCGTTTCGACAGGCAGATTTAACATCGCAAGAAAGAAGAATCCTGAATTACAGATTATCTCGCGCGAGACGGACTGTTGAAAACGCTTTCGGGATAATGGCATCACGATTTCGGATATTTTATACTCATATAAATTTAGAACCCGAAAATATCGATAAAGTAGTGAAAGCATCTTGTGTATTACATAACTTTTTAATTGAACACTCAAAAAAGTCTTATGCACCTCAAAAATGTTTTTATCGAGAAAACTCTGAAAACGGGACTATAATATCTGAAGGATACAATACACAAAATAGCACCATGGTAAACTTGGAAAGAAGAAACCCAGGAAATACTTTGAACAACGCGAAGATAGTCCGAAACAATTTTATGAATTATTTCAATCAGGAGGGAAGGGTACCATGGCAAAATGATCATGTAAATTAAATAATACCTAAGGCTGAACGGGCAGAGTAGGTACATAGTTCTAAATAGTTATAGTTGTAAATAATTATGTTATTATTATATTACTTAATAAAAAAAAATACTACAAACTATGAAATATTTTACTTACCTCACAACTATTTTCGTCATCACTATCTAAGTTGGATGAAGATTCCCTTGGAGTGCATTGATCATGAATGAAATTGAACAAATCGTAGTACCACAGTTTAATACGATACACATCATCAGCAGATGCCCCAGACTTTAAAGATTGCTCATATTTCTTCGTTTCCTTTCTAACATTGCTTCTTAGGTTATTGATCTTTTTCACAACTACATCTTTGTTCGCATCTGGCTCAATTATTCTCAATTTTTCTATGAGTAATTTATAAGCAGCTTCTTTTTTGTCTCGATTATGGTAATCTTTGTTTTTAATTTGCCATAGACATGGATTACTTCTATAAATTTCAATAAAATCTTCAAGGATTTTTTTAGTTGAATCTGGTGGCGCCATTTTCTGGCAATACGATGCGAGCGATGAGACGCCCGTTTGAAAGAAACACTAAAAAACAACTGACGCGACCTGCGCAGGCGACCGGAGTACACGCACACACGCACAGGTACACCGTACGGTGTCACTCGAAAGAATCGATTTTCGATCTTGCGCCGGTTGCCTGCGCAGGTTCAAAAAACTGCACAGGTCTATTCCCACACACATTCCGGTCTACCTGCGCAGGCATACCTGCACAGGTGGACCTTTCCGGTAGACCGTAGCGTGTATGGCCGGCATAAAGTGGCTTCAGCGGCGGATATTTGGTCTGTCAGTCTGTCAAAGGCCCTGCGAGCACCATAGCACAATCTTTAAACAGAAAAGCCGGTATTCCGTCCGGTTCTGCAGACCGTTTCAGCTTCAAGTGTTCTAGTGCTGTAATGACGTCATTTCAAGTCAATATTAAGTACATTATTGTGCCTCCCTCTCCCGCTCCCGCTGCCGCTCTAGCAACCAATCGCGGCGGCTGCTTGTTATACAGCTGTTCTACACACTCTACTAATCTACTTTACACAACACAAACACACTACACAAAAATAAATAACTTTTTAATACAATTTAATTTTTAACCGACTTCAAAAAAAGGAGGAGGTTCTCAATTCGACCGTATATATGCTTTTTTTTTCGATTATATTATTTCTAAACTAAAACTGCAAAACAAACATTTAGACTACAATAATCAAAAATAATATTGAACTTACCTCGAAAATTAAAACTTTTATTCACAATATAATTTGCACAAAAACCTTCACACTTTTTCTTTACCCGCCAAAATTTTGACAGCCGAAAAAAAGTAACAAAAGAATATAAAATTATCAAAGTTGCCAGTCGTAATAAATATTTAGAGGTTAAATCGATAATAGGTAATTTAATAGGTATGTAATATCGATTAAAATATTGTGTAGTTTAGAAACTACATTGCGACTTTAAGGGTTAATCAGAATCAGATTCCGTGGTATCAGACCTGCTGCTTTCCTCAGACGACGTTTCACCTGTTACATTGATGATAAAAGAATCAATAGTTTGGTCGATATTATTGTCTAAACCACCTAATTTTATTTCCTCCTTTTTTACGTGGCTTATACAGTTTTTTCCATTTTTCCGGTGTAATGTTTTTCAACTCCTCTTGGAGACTCAGTTTTTTTACGTCTACCATCTTAAATGTGGTATTATTTCTTGCCAGGTAGCCCTTCACGTCTGCCCACACCAATTCAATAGGGTTCAACTCACAGTGGTATGGAGGTAATCTTAATACCTCCACACCAACTTCTTTCGCCATTTCATCTATAACGTACGATTGGTACTCTGTTTTTACACCTTTTTCCAATAACTGAACTTTGGTTTCTTTTGGTTCATAAGTAATCTTCTTAGATGTGAGCCATTTTTGAATATTTGTTTTATTCCAACTTGTGACGGAGGTTTTCTCCTTTCGCCTTGAGTGGTAGCTCGCATTATCCATCACAACCACCGCGGTCGGCTCAAGTCTTGGCAGGGCCGGATTTAGGGGTCCAGAGGCCTCGGGGCAACAAAGGAGTGGAGGCCCCCTTGCCCCAAATTATTTTCCAAATAAAATAAACAATTTTTTTCAGTCGAGTTTTTCAATAAATAATTTATTGTGAAACCAAGTCGATTCTCTTAGTATTTAACAAACACATATATATATAATCGGAAACAAGAATTATTTGTAATTAAATTTTAGTGTTAACGAACGGAACCTTTCGAGCTTTTTTTGCCGAAAAATCGTTGATGAGTTCGCTGAAATCCAGTTCTCGGAGTAAATCGCTTTCAATGCTCAGGAGAGAAAGCTTTGATAGTCGGTTTTGTCCCATCGTGGTTCGAAGCCTATTTTTTATAATTTTCATTTTTGAAAATGAGCGCTCTCCAGTGCAATTTGATACCATCAAAACCAAATACATTCTCAATGCAATTTCGAGGTTTGGGAATGTAGCTCTGAAATTTTGATCTTCGAGAATTCGGTAGTAAAATAGTTCCGGCGATTGATATTTTCCATAGTCCTTTTTGTATGAATAAATCAAAGTCACAAATTGAACCAACTCATTACCAAGACTAGGCTCTAAATCATCCGTATACACTTTCACCAATGCCTCTGCTGCAGCGTGCATTGGGGTACTCCCTCAAGATGGGTAGTAAATTGGAAGTGCTTATCAGAGCCATTTGAGATTTTGATATTTCACTGATTGCCTGATTGGAGTGAACAAATATAGATCAATGATTTCTGTTTCTGTTAATATTTAAAATGAATATAATCAAATAATCATGTATGTATAAAGTACTTTAGGCTGTAGGTAAAGGTAAAAGCGAAAAAAAATATCAAAGGAAAAGATGTTTACTAGGTTTACTAGTTGAAATTTGAAAGATTTTTTTTTCTGAAGTCTCTGTTGTGGAGGCCCCCTGCTTGTGGAGGCCCCGGGGCTTTCGCCTCGGTTGCCTCCCCCTAAATCCGGCCCTGAGTCTTGGCAACATTTCTTTGACCCAATTTTCGAATTTGGCGGCGTTCATTGATTCGTGATAATCGCCTGTACCTAAATATTAAATACAAATACAAATGTCTTTATTTCGCATAAAATAATACACTTTTACATAAAGGTGTAGGCAAAGCCTATTGCTAACCTTTGCATTCAAAAACCAATTCTGATTCCGGCACGAATCCTTCTTCGCCTCCAATATGCAGAATAATTAAGCGGTTGCCTTTAGACGTAGGATTCTTAGCGCCCGTCGACAGACCCTCTAAAAAGGCTTGTTTGCGTGTCTTCACTGTAGTGTCTTCCCACACTTTGTCGACAGTGTGCCCTGAAAATATATTTTTTGTTTTATTATATGTTTAAATTGAATAGAAAAAATAAAAAATATATACAATTTAAAAAAAATAAGAAATATGTAGTATAGTTTTTAAACTAATGAAATCGCGGGTTAAATGTAAATCAAATATATAGTCTTACCTGCATTCACCCAAGTTTCATCCAAGTAATATATTGGTCGTCCTTGCTCTCGAAAAGTTTTCATGTTTTTCAAATATTTTATACGCCACAATGCTATGTCATCTCTATCGATTAACGCATTATTTCTCCTTCGTTTGACATATTTAAATTTCAAATGTTTTAGAACTTTTTTCAGCGATGTCCTGCCCATGCTTGGTAGGGATTCATCGGCATTTACTACCTGTAATACCTTTTTTGCTGTAGGTAACTCTCCTTTTAAATAAAAGCTATGCACAATTTTTCTAATGCACAACTTGTCGAAATCAACATGCGTTTTTTTAGTGCTGCAGCTGGCTTGACAGTTTCCGTTTTAGTGTATTCGTTTGGAATACTTTACACCGCCGATTTCGAAATGCCCAAAATATCGGCCGTTTTATCTTTCATCTCCTGTTTTGAAGGATATTTATCGGCAGGCCAAGATTCTTTTACGTATCTAAAGACGTTGATAATCATCAACTTCTCACTTTCACTAAAGTGCGACATTTTTCGCTTCTTCGGTTTTCTCCGGTTCCATTTTCAAAAAAACTTAACAATGTAGAACCGACTAACAAGAAAACTAAATAACGATAACTTAACAGTAATTTAACAAGAAAACAAAACAAAACACAAACGTCTGCAGAAACTATTTCACTACGAACAAATTGACCGATCACTAGCGCATCCCGTTATGGAATGTCGTCCGTTAAATTTTGATTTTTGAACAAGCGATAAAACGTCGAGTGGGCGTTATAGGCTGACTCAAGGTCAAAAAAATGCTAGCATACAAATATAAACCTTACGTAAGCACACAAAAGGTTTGTAACTCCTGATGCCCGCGGTCGACGCTACCGTGTGTGCGGGATGCAACTTATTCACACGTGAGAGAGGGAGACAGGTAGAACCAGGTCAATGTACGAAATTCTTCCTGCTCGGCGACCGTGCTTTAGCATTTTCTTGGCACTTCTCATTCAATTTTTCAAGCAGAGGCCTTATCTTGTAGAGTTTATCATTTATTTATTTATTTATTTATTCAAACCATGCACTTACTGGCTTACAGTGGGTACCAAAACGCCAGTAAGCTAGTTAATTAAAATAGTCATTACTATCTCGGGCTGGCATCTGCGAATTATCGTTGAGATGCAAATGCTTCATGATGTGCTGAATTCTCTTTAGGGTCATTGTTTCAGCTATTTCTGGCACTTGCAGTACAGGGTCACTCGAAAAGCGGCAACTTTTTTTTACCAAGTGTAATTTTTTTTTTGCATATGGTTGGCACCACTGTTTTTTTTTAAATATATTAATGTACATTCAACCACATATTAGTAACGATTCCAGTATAAGAATGGAATGAACTTCTCGATTTAATATTCCTATTAGATGGTGGCACGTATATTGCCGTCTTCGGTAAAAGGGTGGTGGTTATTGTTGGAAGATGCGGAACCTCCTCTAGTTTTAACTCTTCGACTTTTTCCTTGGCCAGCTACATCTGTTTCTGTATCTGACTTTTGTTTCAAATTGTTTTCGTCCCTTAAACTTTTTCCTACATGTCCCCCTCTTGTTCTTACACATCGTTTTTTGTTTTTTCCGATAGGCAATGGAATTACAATATTTTCGAACGATGACGAAGGTTTATTAGAAGAAGTGGCAGGCTCATTATACGCAGTGGAAGGTTCATAATTTGAGGTAGAAGGTTCATTATATGCCGTGGAAGGTTATTAAATGAGGTCGAAGGTTCATTAAAAGAGGCCGAAGGTTCACTACACGAGGTTGCACAATTTATTTCAATTGGCGAAGTCTTGTTTTTACAATCTTCTTGGGCAACTATATCGATAACAATTGCCTTCGAAGTTAAATTTCAGTCTGTCACGTTTTCGACAGACCAAGTTTTAACTACGCCACCAGATGTGCAATGTACTGGAGACTGATTGAGTAAATGTTATTTACTGAAACAACAAAATATTATTGAAAATCTTAAATTAAAAATTCTCTCAAAACTGTTGGTAAGAAATGCATGTGTAGGTTACCTGTGAAAAGAATGTGTGTATGGTAATTTTAAGCATCGTGATTCAATAGAATTTCGCCGAATATTCTTAGGTTCCACTTCTATTGCTGTACTTAAAGATCTTACCCTTTTCCGCTTTAAACCTGTTGTGGTACTTCTAACCCTGAAACATTTTTTATTTCTGGTTTGCTGGATTTGTAATATTAAAAACATTACATTGATATTAAATAGATATAAAGATCAACTGTCTGTTTTATAGCTCACCTATCTTGTGAAGTACTTTTCCTGGCTTGTAAATTAGTACCTTCGGCAATGTTAAGTGACAATTCAACCAAGCGACGACCTCTGTTATTGTTTGCCATACTTGCACAATAAACAAAAGACCTAGAAGACGAAAATACTAGTAACTTTTAAAAAAATAACAATTTTAATTTAAAAATAAAACCGTCGGTGAATAACGTGTAGGTAGGTATGTAGTCCGATGTCTGTAGTGAAATATCCCAAGTTATAAAATAATTAGGTAATTTATAATAGCAGTAGTAGGCACTATTTATGTTACAACAAATTTAAGAAGTACCGTTTGACATTCCACAGTTTTCTATGAAAATAGCTTACTTTAAAGCCGTAACTCTTTACTTAAATTACCTTTTCCGTAAAATCATTGAATTATGAAGCAATTTTTATTTTATCACAAGTTAAACAATTTTTAATCAACAAATTAAAATTCAAATGTAAGCATTACGTTTACAACTATCAAACGGTACTTCTTAGATTTGACGATCCTTAGTGACTGATTATTAGAGTCATTCGGGTCAAGAGGACGCATTTTACCTTTCTCAACAATACCAAAACAAAAATAATAGATCCTTAGGAACGTCTTATTGACATTTAGGTAGGTTACTTATTGCTTTAGTAAATACATATATTTGTAAACTGACTCTGTACATAGTTTTCTTAGAATCACTTAATAATGACCCTCAGTCAGAATGCGAACGTTTGACCCGTAATGCGGATAACAGTACGCATTCTGAGGGGCTAAATTTCGCATACGGGGTAAGTAAACGCAATGGGATAATTTGTGGGAAGATAATTAAACAAAACAAATAATTAAAGATATCTTTTAATAAACTTATTAAATTAGCCAACTTAAGCAATAGCACAGTAATTAAACAGCTTTAAGATCAGTTATATAGTATTTGGAAACAAAACAAAATAATTAACAATGGAGATCAATGAAGTCTTTTGGCACTTTAAACATAACTCTATCTGTAACAAGTCTAAACTTAATTCTTAAAATTAAGTAGGCAACTAATCAAATTAGCATAAAATTTAAATCAAGAAAACAAAAGAAAGATGTACTGAATTAATTTCAAATATCTAGTTGACTAAGATCCATCACAAAAATCACACGTAAAAGCTCCGCCTACATAAGCTGTGCATTCTTCGTGAAACCATTTGTTGCACATAGAGCACTGGATCCAATCCTCGGCAGGCGGATCTTCATATTTTTCTTCGCAGATGGGACAGAAAATACGTTCTTTATTCGTGGTTATTTTACGCTTGTTCTTCGTATTTAAATTTTGACCACATGTTTTCATGCTATTACTATTTTTCTTCTTTTTCAGGCTGTCTCGATTGATCCCGGATTTGTAAACCATTTAGTATATAATGCATGTTGTGCTTACCTGTAATAGATTGATGCACTAGTTTTTAAGTTTTCGTAAATGTAACCCTAGATTGTAAACTCAAACTCAAACTCAAAAGCATTTATTTCAATTAAACCATAATTTGGTACTTTTGAAACGTCAACAAATGTGTGTATAAGTGTGTAATCAATTGTTGGTGAGCCAAATCAATAAAATAAAAAATAAAAATAAAATCCCCGATGGTCCTGGCTGAGAATCTAAGTCTATTGGCTTAATGCGTTTTCGACCCTTGTTTTCCTCTTCCTTGCGTTTCTCTGCTAATTGAGTTCCTGTAACAATTTCGGACTTTAAACTTGCTCTTTAGATCTTTTCGTCTTTTGCTCCGTAATTTTTGGTAAAGGGCTTAGATCAATTAACTTAACTATTTGATTATCTAACTGAATGTTTTCTTTGTTTAAAAGATTATCATACCCCGCTGGTTCAGTTTCTTTATTAAACAATGTATCTTTTTTTTGTCTGGCTGAATATTTATTTATTTATTTATTTATTTATTTATTTATTACACACACAAGTTAACATTACAGGTTTAGGACCCAATGCGATAACAAGGAATTATAAAATCTAGCGACTACTTACACCATATTAGACTTTAGGTACTAACTAATAATCCAAACTATTACAGAGATAAAGAGAAACACAAACCCTGTATTAGGTAAACTTAATAAAATAAAGACTTAAAGACTAAAGAAAGAATAAAGACTAATTTAAATAGCATTATTATTGCCTATCTATAACATAAATTATATAACAGAATCTTTGTGAATTCACTCGGCTGACAGGTAAAGACATCTATTTGCTCGTGCACAACATTTATATTACGGATAGCTTGCGTAACCGCGGCTTTCGCCAGTAAGTTCGTCCTAGCCACCGGCACCGCCAACAGAGGCGGACGCCGCCGCCTCCTTACATAATTGTCAGGTACCCACAAACTGATTCTTTGAAGAACATCTGGGTTATGTTCCAATCCCCGAATCAATTTCACCAAATAGGTGGTAAGAGTAAACTCTCGACGCACCTTCAATTGATTGTACCCGACCATACCCAGCACAAATAACGAGGGATACATTAACGGATACAACGGGTACACTCCATACAGCTTCCAATACAAGTGACGAGTGAATTTGTTCTGAACTCGTTCTAACATTAGAGAGTACTTATTTAATGTCAATGAATTTTCTTTATTTAATGTCATGACAGCTTCCACTATTGCGTCTGACATCGTACTTGTTGCCTTTTGGTTTATTTTCCCCTGTTCTTTGATATTTTCGGCTACAAAGGGTAAACATGAAGTAATTGTATCTGTGTTAATATTGGTAGATATTAACACATTTACATCAATATCGTCATCACCGGGAATATCTCCTATTCCCATAAAATCATTATCAAGCAGGGATGGACTCGTATTACGTTAATATGTTACAGGTACTTGTTCAATCGAGGATTGGTTAAAGTTTTCCTCTATAGGCTCATCTGGTCGGGAAAAAAGATCTGTCACTGAAGCAGGTGCAAAATCCGCATCATCAAAAATATCGTCTGCAAATGGAAATATTCCTGTAGCTCGGAAACCAGATTCTGCATTTGACATAGTTGCAACTTGCTTAAATGCAGCGTTGAATAAACTCGCCACTTGAAACTGCGTTATGCCTCTGCCTGGGTGCAATGTCATCCATTTCTCGCATTCTATTGCGTATTTTGTCTTTAGTGGGCTAT